CGTAGGTGCCTGTGGACTTCCAGGAAGCCATCTCTGTATCCATAGCTGCCTGCCACTGAGAGGAGTAGGGACCCTCTATCGCCTCCGCGTAAGAGCGCGGAGTCGGGATGTCAAGTGCATCCGGGTCTCCCTCAGGGGTAAGCAGTACGGACACGAGATGAGGTGAAGCAGCAGCCAAACACTGGAACTCCTCCTGCCTGTCCTCAAGGACGTCCGTGCCAAGGGCACACTCACCTCCGACGGACGGAGGACAGACAGACTCAGACTCAGCGACAAGACAAGCAGCGTAGTCTAGACGACAGCGAGCAGCAAAGTCGACGAGCTCAGCAACTAGGGCAGACGCAGCAGTGGACGCAAAGGAAGGGTCAGTGACGACAGTAGCAAGGAGACGCGTGACAGTAGGACTGGCAGCACGAAGAGAGTCCGACTCCGGGTCGGGAAGAGCAGGAAGAGAGGACTCAGGAGGAGAAGGCAAAGGGGCACGCATAGGAGCAGTGGACAGACGCAGAGACATCCGGTGCGTGCCAGGGACAGGAGGAGGACGCTGACGCGAACCACGACCACTAGCGCGAGCAGTACGGACAGGCGACGCAGGACGCGACGCAGGCTCACGACGCTCAGCCAGACCTCCAGTAGGACCAGTGTAGGGAGAAGGAGCGGGCAGTGGGGAGGCCGGCTGTAACTGTAACTGTGACAGGACAGGCTGTGGACACTCTAAGGGAGGAGGAGGACCAGTAGAAGGCGAGAGACCAAGAACCTGCTGAAGGAGCGGAACGAAGTACGGCCGAGGCCGCGCGGCGACTCCAGACACAGCAGGGACAGCACCAGTACCCCCAGCGGCAGCACCAGCGCCAGCAGCACCTCCAGCTCCAGTACCTCCAGCAGCACCAGTAGCACCCCCAGCAGAACCGCCTCCAGGACCGACAGCAGTAGCCTCAGCGTCAACACCCTCCGCAGCTCCAGCTCCAGTCGTACCCGTAGGCCCAGCAGCTCCAGTACTCCCAGTACGAGCACCTCCGGGACCCGCGGCACCAGTACCCTCAGTAGCCGAAGAACCTCTAGCACCAGCAGCACGCCTCCAGCGCCGGGCAAACCACTCGCGCAGCTCCTGCGGAGAGAGTGGCTCCCGCCGAGACGAAGCACCCGGAGAACCTCCAGGCTCAGCACTGCCAGACGCCACACAAGCAGGCCCAGCTCCCTCAGGCTCCGCACCCCCAGGCTCAGCACCTCCAGGCGTAGCACCCCCAGGCTCAGCACCCCCAGGCTCAGCACCCCCAGGCTCAGCACCCCCAGTAGTAGCACCTCCAGGCTCAGTACCCCCAGGCTCAGCACCCCCAGTAGTAGCACCCTCAGGCTCAGCACCCCCAGGCGTAGCACCCACACGCTCAGCACCCCCAGCGTCAGCACCCCCAGGCTCAGCACCCTCAGCAGCACCAGAGTCACCAGTAACCTCGACAGGCTCGACTGCGTCTACCTGGGACACACCTGAAGGGGCAGGACCCTGAGGGGGGAGGGGGTCTACCGGGGGGGGACCTGGCACAAGGAAGAGCGGTGGTGGGGGGAGGGACGGAGTGCGATAGGGGAAGAGGCGGTAGTAGGGGACCGACTCGTCAAACGTGACGTCCTGGGAGGACAGAACACGGCGAGAGGTGGGGTGGTAGAACTGCCACCCTGGCGCGTCAGGGGGGAAGCCAAGGAAGACTCAAGGAGCAGCACGAGGGGACAGCTTGTCCGCAGACAAGTCGCGGACAAACGCCCGAGATCCCCAGACACGGAACGCAGACGCATCGCCAACCTTCCCCGTCCACAGCAAAGCTGGGGAGGTCTCCGGCCTGGAGACCCTAGGGTGAAGGTTGATCTGATGCGCCGCGTACCGAACCGCAAACGGCCACAGAAAATGGGGGGCAGCCGCATGCATCATGGACGTACGGGCGACGTCCATGACCATGCCAATGCGGCGCTCAGCAATCCCATTTTGCTGTGGAGAGTCCGGAAGCGTGAAGGTCTGGCAGATGCCTCGTGCACGACAGTAGGCTCGCAGAAGGCCAGAGGAGAACTCTCCACCTCTGTCAGAGTGCAGACGCAGAACAGGAAAGTCCGAGCCGAAGCTCTGCCTGAGCTGGAGACGAGCTGCGCGGATCCAGTCGATCAACACCTCAGTGACATCACCCTTGCTGCGCAAGGGGAAGACTGTGGTGTAACGCGAGTAGTCGTCAACCACCAGCAGGAAGTAGCGCTCGTGACCCTGTCCACGGACGCGGGCCGGGCCCCACACGTCCATGTGAAGCGTCTGCAGCGGGGCCTCTGTCGGAGGAAACTGGGAGGAGTGAGGGGCAGCCCGCTGCCGCCCCTCGACACAGGGGACGCAGGTAGGGCCAGGCCCCGGAGGAAGGGGAGGGAGGGACCGGGGAAGACCAGAGACAAGGACACGGGAGGCCATGCCTCGGAGACGAAGCAGGGAGGGGTGACCAAGGCGGTGGTGCCAGAGGAGAGTCTCGTGAGACAGGAGGTGACACGAACAGGGGGCAGACTCAGGACCAGACCTGGACGCTGCAGCAAACACCTGACCCGACGCAGCTACCTGACCAGACGCAGTGACTGGAGGAGACGCAGTGGTCAGGGTGTACAGGCTCGACCCCGGCCGACGGGTAAACGTGGCCAGGTGTCGGCCAGTCCGAGCGTCCGTGCAGTGGGTCACCCGCTGACTCGCAGGAGTGAACTGGTGAACCCCCGCATCCTGTAGGTCAGCACCACTCACCAAGTTCGTAGAGAACGAGGGGAGGTAAAGACCAGACAGGGTGCCAGAGGGGGCCGCCGGACACGGGAGGACAGTGGAGAAGTGAGCAAGGACAGGACCCCCAGAGGGGTCTGCCAGAGAGACCGCAACTGGCCGGCTAAGCGGCGTGAGTGTGGTGCGGTCTCGAAAGAAGGAGCGAGAAGCCCCCGAGTCAAGGGTGAAGGTGTGGGAGGCCGAAGCCGACGCAGAACCTGAGAGAGCAGACTCACCAGCACCTGAGGGAGCAGACGCACCTAGAGCAGCAGCCTCGCTAGCACCTAGAGCAGCAGCCTCACCAGTACCTAGAGCAGCAGTCTCAATGCCCGGGTCGGGCGGAAAACACCGGTAACAGTCACCCTCATCACTAATAGTCACAGTATACATAGCAGCAAGAATAGCATCAAAGTCAAGGTCAAAGACAGCGACACCCGCCCTAGACAGCTCACCCCAGCGGGGGATCTCAGTGGCCTCAGGGAACTGGTGACGCCAAGCGTCCGTCAGGCGGCCAAAGCAGCGCTGGGTGGAGTGCGCCCCCCCGCACTGGTCACCCGCGCGGTCGCCGGTGCGGAGGACGTAGGTGCACGGACCAGTACCCCCACCCCGCTGGCGTGCAGCGTACCACTCACGGAGCTGCTGAGGGGGGGGGATGTCACGAGTGCGCTGCTGCTGCTGCTGCTGCTGCTGCTGGCGCTGACCACCACCGGAGCCGACCCTCTGCGCAGCGCCACCCCGACCAGCTCCACCTCCTCCGCCGCCGCCTCCTCCACCGCCGCTACCTCCGCTCCCACCGCCACCGCCGCCGCCGCCTCCGCCTCCACCGCCGCCACCGACACCTCCACCCCCACCACCACCCCCACCGCCACCCCCACCCCCTCCACTGCCTCACTTCTGGTGCCTCCCCTGCCCCCTCTCGTTTCTAAAAAAAAAAAAAAAAAAAAAATTCGTGGTGGTGGGCCCTAGGAATCGTTCCCACTAGGGAACCTGCTCTGATACCATGAGAAGAAACGAGGAATGAGAATGACTAAGGGAAGGTTGGGTACAAAATGCAAACCCTAGAAAACTGTACCCCATATGTGCTACCCCACTATAGCCTACAGTGGCTCTGTCATATAAATCTGACACTTCTTTCTTTAGCAGTAACGTTGTAAAGGACACGCAGTACGAGCTAGCTTTCCTTGTTGCCGCTGCTCTTCATCTCTTCGCTATGCTACTAGCCCCTAAAGGTGACCCAGACGCGAACCATAGCCTCTCACCGGATATCAGCCATCGAAAAGAGATGACATCTTGGAGGTCCACATGCACCAATGGCGATGTAGTTCCCCAACCTGAGGTGATCGTGGTCGATGGCATGTGGATCATCAAGGTGTAGCGGTTGCCTAGAGAGCCGCCTGTTTTCAAGGCACACCACGTGGCTACAAGGTTTAGTCAAAGAGAGAGAGAGAGAGAGAGAGAGAGAGAGAGAGAGAGAGAGAGAGAGAGAGAGAGAGAGAGAGAGAGAGAGAGAGAGAGAGAGAGAGAGAGAGAGAGATGGCATAGCCTTAGTCCTTAGCCATTTCTAGGCCTCTCTTCTCTAGGATATAGTCCTTAGCCATTTCTAGGCCTGTTTCCTTAGTATAAAGGCCCTGGATCTAGGCTAGTGAGCTCATTATTCACTGGTGAGTTAGGATCACTCTCCAAATCCGCCGGCTCGCGCCGGCCGCCTTCGGCGGCCGACGCTCGCCAGCGCGGCCTTCGGCCGCGCGTGAGGTGTGACAAGGACTAGGGGGGACAAGTCTATAATCATGGAAGGCTACAACATGCACCAGAGATAATATACAACAACAAGATCACCCCCAGGCAAGGAGATACCGCCATGGGGAAGACCAAGGCCAGGCCTGTAACCAAGCAGGCAGGCACAGGGAAGAGGGCCACTACTCGGCCAGGATCCAACTCAACCGGCCGTCCATCCAGCGTAGCACGGATGCGGCAGCTGGTACCACGTCCCGTGGGGCCTTCAGGGCGGCAAGAACAAGCCGCCTCAGCGCAGCGGGACCAGGTCCCAAGGCGGCGCCAGGGGAGTCCGGGACCAGCCCAATCAAAGGCAGCATCTCCAGCATCTGCATCGCCGCTGCCACTCCCTCCTCCTGCTCCGTTGCCGACAATACCGGAGGCACCTCCACAGGACGTATCTGCCGCAGCTGGAAAAGGTGCAGTTGGTCGAGGACCATTGCCAACAGCGTCAGGCATGTCCCCACGTGCCCAACGCGCTGGGCGACGCGGTGGGCCCTGCTCCGCGGCGGGGAGCCCGGCGGCGAAATCCCCTCCGGAGACAGTGGGGGAGAGGGATCAGGACCGACAGGCGGAGGAGGAGACGATGGCAGAGTTGATGGCGGGGGCGACTGCACACCTGGAGCCTCCTCCGCCCTCAGATACCCCATCACCTCCCACGGGATTGGGATGCGCCTCCCGCCAAGAAACAGCTGCGGGCATCCCAAAGGCGCCGGCGACGGAGCAGCCGATGAGGAGGGCTGAGGTGCAGGAGACGCCGAGGGGCGAGGCGGCGGCGGCGGCTGCGGTGGAAAGGGGAAACGTCGCAGCGGCGACTGCGTCGGTGGAGATGGTGGGGGAAGCGGCTGCTGCCGCGGAGGTGCCAGAGGAGGCTGTGACGGCATTGGGGCGGGCTGGCAGAACTGACGCCGTTTTTGGCGGTGGCTCAACTTCACGTTCTGCCAACCACCAGGGGGCACAACAGCAGACGCTGGAGCTGGGTCTGGCGGTGGATCGGGAACCGTCCGAGGCGGTGACGTTGTCTGCGTCACCAGCGCCGGTACCGGCAGCGGTGTTGGCTGCGGCGATGACTGCTGCGATCGCGGCAGGGAACCTGGCCGACGCCCCGATCGAGGGGGAGGCATCGGTGGCCGCTGTGAGCGCCGGAACATCTGCTGCCGCCGAGGGCACAGACACGCAGGAGCGCGACCAGGCGGCGAGCGGAAGACGGGGTCACGGGACCGGCGCCCCTGGACGCGCCGCTCACGGGAGGGGCGGGAGGAAGCTCCGTGCCCAGCCAGCGCCGAGGCGGCCCGGAGCAGGGCTGGGGCCTCGCGCCCCGGGACCCCTCCGGGGCTGGAGTGAGCAAGAGCAGTCGCCACTATCGCCAGAGCGTCGACCTCCATCTGTGGGACAATAAAGAGGGGAAGGCGACGAGGAAGCTGACGTCAGGCACGTGGCAGGACACAACGCCCCGGAGGCAGCGACTACACAAGGCCCACAGCGGGAAACACGGAGCTCCACACGCTCACAAGGAATTACATGGGGCCGTCCGAGACTGGGACTGGCACACTCACCGTGGATCCCGGCGGGAAGAGAGCCACAGGTCGGACGAGGGGGGCGGAACGACGAGAGCCGGACCGGGGAAGGAGCGCCGAGCCGTGGGGCCCGAGGAGGAGGACGCGGGGCAAGAGGGGGAAGAAGGGGCGGGGGCGCAATCGTCGGCGGAAGGGAGGCGCTTGTGAGATCAGGAACGTGGAGGGAACGCCACGATCGCCCGGAGCAGGAGGCGCCACCGACGAATCAGGAGGAGAGGGACACTGGGAATGGGGAGGACGGGGGGGATTATGTAGCCGAGACCCCCGAAACCTCAGAAGAGATCTCGCTAGAGGAGGAGGGAGACACTACAGGAAGAGAGAGGGGACGGAGGGAGATTGGGAGAAACCCCCAGGACAGAAACCCCGGTGCGAGAAACCCCCAGGAGAGAAACCCCCACGAAAGGGGAGAGATCGGAGTAGTGACGAGTGGGAGCCAGAGAGAAACCGGGCAACCCAACGTACAGTCACCGGCCGAGCTGGCGGCAAACGAGGCCATCTGGCAGCAGGCAGCCACGTGGGAAGTTGCCCCACTTCAGCGGGGGGACCAACCTTTCTTGGTTCGGAGGATGCCCCCCAAAATTTTGGAAAGTTACACCCTCTGTGTGCTGGCACCACTCCTACGCCTGCAGAAATTTCCCGACTGTCCAGGTGCATGGGTGATCCTGCAATTCCTCCCGAGGCTGACCTTGCGGCCCCTTCCCGAACCAGTTCAAGGAAGTCGGTGGGTTGGGATTGAGGGAAGGCTGCACCGGTTCCAGCAAGGCAGCTGGGCGGAACTTTTCGAGGAGGCTAGGGTCATCCCCGATACGGAGAACCCGTCACGCCACCAAGCGGATGACGCTGGACTCTGTGCTAGGGCGGAAGGACTTATGAAGAAGGGTAACATCTCGAAGGCAGTTGCGGCGTTACGCGCAACCCCACTCGCCGAGGCCACACCAGCGACACTCGCCGCGCTTCAGGCGAAACACCCCGATGCTGCATCGCACCCGGCAATGTTCGTTTCTGGCTACACTCATTCGGAGCTGCGGGTAACACCAGACGAACTTCGCGAAATACTCAAGCGATGCCCGAACGGAGTGGGAGCAGGCCCATCAGGTACCTGCTTTGAACACCTCAAAGACCCTGCGCTCGCGAGTGAGGAGGTGCTCATACTCCTCGCGCAAACTATCAGCTACCTCCTTAGCACCTTCCAGACGCAGGCGGTCCGCGATTTGCTACTGCCCTCGAGACTCATCGCTCTGGAAAAACCGGGAGGAGGCGTTAGGCCCATCGCGATAGGAGAAGCAATACTTCGCGTAGTGGCAAAGGCGGCTTTGAGGGAACTAGCACAGACCATTCGCGAATACTTCCTCCCCGTTCAGTTTGGGGTGGCAGTCACAGGCGGCGCAGAGTGCATCGTCCACTCAGTTCGATCTCTGCTTAAGGAGGACGAGAGCCGAGTAGCGCTACAGCTCGATATCGAGAACACCTTCAACAGTGTCGAACGGCCGGCGTTCTTTCAGGCACTCTCGCAATCGAGCTTGTTATCACTCCTACCCCTCGTACGCACGCTTTACGACGGCCCGTCTAGGCTTTTAGTGGACCACAAGCTGGGCGTCGATCAGATCATGAGCAACCGAGGAGTTCGCCAGGGTGATCCGCTCGGTCCGCTCCTCTTCGCAACGGCAATCCAACCGACACTTCTGAGCACGGCAACGCTACCCCCCGAGGTGGCGATCGTCGCCTACGCCGACGACATCACCATTGTGGGCCCTCGGGACGCGGCCTATGAGGCTTTCGTCACCATCACACGGGAGCTCCGATCGGTTGGCCTCCGCTGCAACATCGCCAAGTCCTCGGGGTGGGGACCGGATACGGAAGGGGGGAATGAGATCCCACCACCACAGGGCCTGCCCATGAACACCAACGGCATCAGAGTTTTGGGAAGCCCGATCGGCACGCCCGAGTTTTGTACGGACAAGGCACAGACAAGCCTCACAGAAGCGGCCGCACCACTGCCCCTGATTGCTCAGCTGCACCCACAGCACGCTATGCTAATACTCTCGAGGAGCATCTCCCGCAGAATATCGTACCTGCTGCGGACCACCCTGGCTACAGTGCTGGAGAGGGAGGAATGGAGGTCGTGGAGCGAGACTCTGATGGCGACGGCCCTGGCGGCGGCAAAGCTACGGGTCCCAGCGAGTGAGCTGGAACAGAGCCTGTTGTGGCGGCAAGGAACCCTACCCGTCAGGCTGGGGGGGCTAGGCATCATCGACCCTACCTCGGAGGCACCGGCAGCCTACATCGCGTCAGTAATGGCAGCCCACACCCTACTGCGGCAGATGAACCTGCCAGAGGCGTACCTGCTGAAGAGGGCGGTCACACGGCTCGACCATGCGTGGAGCCCTGCCCCACCTGAAGTTAACCAGCTGGCCCCACTGGAGGCAGCCCTGCTGGCTTCAGCACGAACCGCACTACAGGCGTTCAGGGAGCAGCCATCAGGACAGGGTAACCTGCAGCTACTACTCTCCCGCCACATCTATGAGAGGCGAGCAGCGGAACTACTGGCTGACACGATCAAAGACCGCCCAGGCACATACCGCGGGCACGCCATCCGCCTCATCAGCCTACAGGGGGTGGGGGCAGGGGACTGGCTACACGCTGTGCCTTCGAGAGCTGACCTTACATTTGCCCCTGGTCAGTTCTCCTTGGCGCTGGGGTTCCGCATGGGCATGTCCATGCCGGTCACTGAGAAGTGTCCCTGCAAGAGAGAGTATTCAGACATCAACGACACGAGCCTGCCGAACCATCTCCTTAGGTGCGGGTACGGGGGCGACGTCGTTAGAACGCACAACGCGCTAGTGTTTGCAGCCCTCAGGATGGCAAGGGAAGCGGACTTCACGTGCTTCCACGAGACATCAGCTTTTTCCCCACCGATCCTCAGGAAGAGGGGAGACCTGGCGATTCGAGACAGGGAGTCAAACGAGACCTGGGTTACAGACGTGACAGTGACTGACCCTGTGCTCCAGCAGCGCGACACCAGGGCACGGAAACCACCGGGGTGGGCGGCTGAGGAGGCATCGGCTAGGAAGCACAGGGAATATGAGGATCGGCCAGACTACGTCGGCTTCTTTGGCCTCGCGGTTGAGACGTATGGGGCTCTGTCCTCGGACACACAGGAGTTCCTACGGCTACTGGCCACCTCAGCAGCCAAGAAGAAATACCGCCAGGGGAAGTTGACAACGACGACTGCACGGCTCACTGCACACTACCGGCAGCGCTGGTCTGTGATGCTGCAGCGCTCCCAGGCAACATCCTATCTGAACAAGTCAAACCTCTCTGATGAGGCAGCGTTCCCCCAGGCTGCTAGGGACCCTTGGGAACCTAGCCTGGGGGACCTCTGGCAAGTGCTGGAGGATGAGCTGGAGGTTGTGATGGCTCAGTAGGTAGGAGTGGGTGTTGGCCAGTGATGTAGCCATGGCTCGGTTGCTGCATGATTGGCCTGAATGGCCTGCCTGCCTGCACTCCTGACCGTGCTTGGCCTTGCCTTACAGTGCCCTGTCTCGCTGGTTTGCCTTGCCTCGCCTTGTCTGCTTGCCATGCCTCACCTGACTGGTTTGTTTGTGTGCAGATGTTCTGCTTGCTTCACGTTCCTGCCTTGCATAATTAGTAGCTCCAATGCCTAGGCCTGTCTAGCTCTATTCCTACCATGCCTGTACCCCTATGAACCTATCAATGAAGGACTGCTTGAGAGAGAGAGAGAGAGAGAGAGAGAGAGAGAGAGAGAGAGAGAGAGAGAGAGACTGGCTCCATGCCGTGCCAACAAGGAGTGACCTTACATTCGCCCCTAGTCAATTCTCGTTGGCGCTCGGCTTCTGCCTTGGTATCTCCCTTCCTGTGACGGTGAAGTGCCCGTGCAAGCGTGACAACTCGGACATCAAAGACACGAGCTTACCGAACCACCTGGTGCGCTGCGGGGAAGGTGGCGATGTAGTCCGTACCCACAACGCCCTGGTGTATACCCTACTGAGAATAGCGAAGGAAGCTGACTTCACGGTCTTTCATGAGACCACCACCTTCTCCCCTCCAGTGATCCGGAAGAGAGGTGATCTGGCGATCAGAGATAAAGAGTCTAACGAGACATGGGTGACAGATGTAACAGTGACGGACCCGGTCCTACAGTGCCGTGACAACAGGGCCCGGAAACCACCTGGATGGGCGGCGAGGGAGGCCTCAGAGAGGAAACACAGGATATACGAGGGACGGCCAGATTACGTGGGGTTCTTTGGCCTGGCAGTCGAAACCTACGGTGCCTTGGCCACAGACACGCAGCAGTTCATCCGCCTACTGGCCACCTCGGCGGCCAAGAGGAAGTTCCGCCAGGGGAAGCTGACCACCACCACCGCTCGGCTGACTGCCCACTACAGGCAGCGCTTCAGTGTGATGCTGCAGCGCTCCCAGGCAACTTCGTTCTTTAACAAGTCAAACCTGGGGGATGAGGCAGCCTTCTCCCAGACCGCCAGGGACCCATGGGAGCCGAGCTTGGGGGACCTGTGGCAGGTGCTGGAGGATGACTTGGGCGGATGGTAGAAGACTAGAGGGGTGAACTGGGGGTATCTGCGGGGGTAAGGGAGTGATGGGGAGTGGTGGCTGGGTCCTGGACAGCTACAAGGGAAGACTGGAGAGGGTGAGGGTGAGCAGGGAATATGGAGACACGGGGCTATCGTGGTGGTGGTGACCAAACAGAGGGTATATGGCTGGTGGACTGTGACATCGGACTACCTTGTTAGCCGTTGTTAGCCTTTGTTTGCCTGCCTGCCTGCTGATTAGTTGCCTGGTTGCCTGCACTCTGTGCTGTCCTGCTTGGTTGTGTGCACTTCTAGGATAGACCACCTGCCAAAACTTGCCCCTGCCTTGCCTGTACCCTATAAGCATATCAATGAAGGACAGAGAGAGAGAGAGAGGATTAGCAGAGAGAGGATTAGCCTCTTCCCTTCTCCCCTCTGCCCTCTGCTTTCTGCCCTCTGCCATGAGTACTTAAGGCCACGGCGGCCTCTCCATCTCTCATTCTTTCAGTTAGTGCTGAAAATTTCGGCGCTTCGCGCCGGCGGCCACAGCCTCTGCGCCGGAGCGCGCGACGAACCCCGCGCGCGGGGGCTCCCGCGATGACAAGGACCTGCCCGCGCGCGGAGCCAACTCGCGCCGCTGGTCCTCGAAGCGGCGGCGGATCTGATCAGCGGACGCCGGCGGAGCAACAGGCATGCTCGCGGCAGGGCGTGCAGGAGGAAGCAGACAGGGAGCAGGATCGCTCTCCGCGGCGCAGTCGCGGCCCATAGCGCCAAGGAAATCCATTGGCCAACGCTCAAGACGCTCCACTGGCACACGAGGAGGCGACAACGCCGATCTCCCAGGCGCAACAGGCGGAACCTGTGACACCTACCCCGCGGGGCGGACGGGGAAGCACGCGGGGGAGAGGCGGGCGACGAGGAGCGTGCGGAGGGCAGAGGAGCGCAGGCCAATCAGGAAGGGGACCGCCCCGCCAGTTGCCGAGCCCAATCTGGTTGGGGGAGCCGGCGGAACGAGTCACGCGCCAGTCGTTCGCTAGACGCGGGGGGAGAGGAGGAACGACAGCGCAAGCAGTGAAAATCGGTGATACAAACTCAGAGGGGAGCGGCGACGAATATGTATCGTCGGATCTGAGGCAACCTGACAATCCCGACTCACCTCTCGCGGATGCGGGGGAGGAGCAGGCGCAGCAGCAGGAGAGAGGTTCTAGCCGCCGACAGAACCGCAGACCCCAACCCCCTCCGGACCAAGCCCTGTCAGCGTCCCAGTTGGTATCGAGGGAGGACCTCTTTGATATCGCGATGAGCTGGGACTCTTCAACCCTAACATCGACCACTCACCTGCCTATCGTCCGCCGCCTGCTGCCGCAGATACTAAGCGATTACTCCACCTGTATGCTGGCCGCCCTCTTACGGATCTCTAAACTGCCAAACTGCGCGGGAGCGTGGCGTGTCCTCATGTTCCTGCCACGTCTCACCTTACGACTTAGCAGGAGGTCCAGCTCTAGGTGGAAGGTGCTGCGAGCACAGATGCACCTATTCAGATATGGCCACTGGAACCAGCTGTACAATGACTACGTGGGGTCCCTGCACCAAGCTGAGCCACCTCAGCACCAAAATGACCCCCTGGGAATCTGCTCACGTGTGGAGGGGTTGGTGAAACGGGGTAACCTGCGAAAAGCGTTGGCAGCCCTTCAACCCTCGCCAGCTGCCCCTGCGACGATCGCAACACTGCAGCAGTTGGAATTGAAACATCCCCAACCCCAAATTGAGCTGCCCGACTGGGTCCACACCTACACAACACCCACGCAATTTTCGTGCACCGCGGAAAGTTTCTCAGACGTCCTCGGGGACTGCCCCAGCGGAGTTGGGGCTGGTCCATCAGGATCAACATTTGAACACTACCGCGACCCAGCCCTAAGTAACATCGAAGTACTACGGCACCTGCACTCCGCCGTAACACACCTTCTCTCGACGAATCTCTCCACCGAGGTTGCAGCACTACTCTCACCATCCCGCCTCATCGCCTTCGCGAAACCAGGAGGGGGGGTACGCCCTATCGCGATAGGGGAATCCCTGCTTCGGCTGGCAGCAAAGGTGGCACTCTCGGAACTGCAAGGAGAAACAAGGCGATTTTTCTCACCCCAACAATTCGGCGTGGCAGTCCCAGGCGGAGCTGAGTTCGTTATCCACGCAGTCAGAGACCTTACCACTGCACAACCTTCCAGCCTAGTACTCCAACTCGACATTGAAAACGCTTTCAACTCCATAGAGAGGAAAGCGTTCTTCAACGCACTCACCAACACCCCGCTAGCTCCACTCATCCCATTCACACGCTCCTTCTACGCAACGCCCTCACCGCTGCTGATCGATCCCCGCTTAAGCCCAACGGCACTCACCAGCGGAAGGGGAGTCAGGCAGGGGGATCCCCTCGGACCCCTTCTATTCGCGGCGTCAATCCAGCAACACCTCAGGCGGGTAGCAGCTGAACACCCGGAAGTCACGGTCCTAGCTTACGCAGACGATATCACCGCGACGCTCGGCGACGGCGACGGCGACGCTCGGCGCGCTGGGAGTGCTGACGCCGCTATTAGCACAGGATGGTCTCACCTGCAACTTTAGGAAGTCGTCGGCATGGTCTTCCACGCCGCTTGGTGGCGACGCGCTTCCCGAGGGCCTTCCCCTCACCCACGATGGGGTTCGGGTGTTGGGAAGCCCTGTGGGGTCGCAGAGCTTCTGCTCTGACGTTGTCCGCAGCTCCCTGACAGACGTGGCGGCACCCTTGGGCTCTCTGGCGACCATCCACCCACAACACACCCTCCTGCTATTGTCCCGTTGCATCAGCCGTAGAATCGGCTACCTGCTGCGCACCACCCCAGCAGATGTCTTACCTCTCTCGGAATGGCATGCATGGTGCTCCGAACTGCTGAACACCGCCTTGACCGCCGCCAGCATTCAACCGCCCCGTCGAGAAGCCGAGTTCAACTTCCTCCTCCGACAGGCAACTCTCCCAGTAGCCCTAGGCGGACTGGGCCTTACCGACCCCACAACTGAAGCAGCACCGGCCTACCTGGCATCTACAACAGAGGCGCTATGCCTGCTCCGCTCCCTGGACCTACCGGCAACCGCGCCACTAGGGGCCAACAGCAACGCCCTGCAGCCGTCTGCAGCGCACTCCGTGACCATCCCGGACATGGACGGGCGACTGCCACCGCTGGCGCTACAAAGCCTACGGGAGGAGCAGCAAATCCCGTCCCAGGACCAGCTGCAGCGCGCCCTCTCCCAGGAAGTGCACGCGGCAAAGGCCGACGCCCTGACCGAGGAATCACGCACAATCAGGTCAGCCCCCGAAATGGGCCACACGCTCCGTCTCGTCAGCCTGAGAGGCGAGGGAGCGGGGGCATGGCTGCAAGCCCTGCCCCTGACACCAGACCTCTGCTTTTCACCAGGGCAATTCCGAACAGCCCTGGCCTTCCGCATGGGTATCCGCCAGAATGTACCTACCGTGTGCGAGTGTGGAGAACTCGTAGCCGACTGTAGCCTACCCAACCACCTACTCCGCTGCAGCACAGGCCCCGACAGGACGTGCACACACAACCAGCTGGCATTCGCCGTGGCTAAAATGGCGAGGGAGGCAGAGCTGGTGGTATACCTGGAGAATGCGATTTACTCACCGCCGGATGACCCGAAGAAGGCAGATGTAATTGTACGTGACCCGGACAATGGAGAGACTTGGATCACAGACACTACTATCTCTGACCCTGTGCTACAGAACCGAGACCCGACAGCCCGCAAACCCCCAGGCTGGGCTGCAAGGGAGGCACAGAGGCGGAAGGAGAGGGACTACTATAGGCACACCGAACACGTGGTGTTCTGCGCCCTGGCCGTCGAGACATACGGGGCAAACGCGCCCCCCACGACAGCGTTCCTTAAGTTGCTGGCCACAGCAGCGGCTAGGAACAGGTTCAGGGCCAACCCCTTGGCCAAATCGGCCAAGAAGATGGCCTGCCACTTCAGCCAACGCTGGTCAGTGGCCCTCCAGTGCTCCCAAGCGAATGCCCTGCACACCAAGGCCAGGGCTGGGATCGAGGCAGCGCACCCCCAGATGGCAGCGGACCCCTGGCCACTGCACCTGGGGGACATCCTCCACACGCTGGAGGGCTAGAGGGTCACTCAGGGGGGGGGGGGGGAAGGAGGGGTGAGTTAAGGGGCTTAAGGGAAGGAGGTTATCATGGATTGCACTGCATGTTTTTGTACCCCTGCTGAATCAATACAAAGGACCGTTTGAGAGAGGCACTAGGAACTTAGTCCTTAGCCTCCCACACCCCTCTAGCCTCTCATAGCCCTAGCATAGCCTTAGTGTACACCCTACTCACTGCTGGATTCCTTAGTAGTTCCCTTCATGTGCCTTATAAGGGGTACAATCCCCTACAAAAGACCCACCCGCCCTCCCCCTTCTCATTAGTTCCTGGTGAGTTGGCATACTCCCAACCCAGCGGCTCTCGCCGGCCGCCTTCAACGGCCGGCGCTCGACAGCGCGGCCTTCAGCCGCGCGCGAGGGGTGGCAAGGATACAAAGGGCAAGCACTATAATAGGGAGCATTACAACATGCAGCGGCAGGGCAACGGGGGGATCTAAGGCAAAAGGAAGACAGGGGAGGAGATGGGGAACAAGAAGTCTAATGCCAAGGCAAAGAAAGGGCAGGCCGCTACACGTAGTTCAACACGTAAAACCTCCGGCGGACCCAGCGAAGCAAGGACGCGAGTGCAGGCATGAGCTGGAGGGGGGCCTCTTCGGCAGTCGTGGCTACCCTGTGGAAAGCCCGTGCGCCAGGCCTCTCGTCCTCGTCAGGGTGCTCGGACTCAAGGGGCAAGCGGAGGAGGCGCCACAGAGCCTACGCGACAGCCTCGCGCACAAGACCCTGCTGGTGCTCCGTCAGCTGAGGGTCACGAAGAACACAGTTCCGCGCCTCCAAACCGGCATGCAGCTGATCCAGAGCGGTGGCAATATGGGAAAGACACTCGCCAACCCCGACCATGCGGCGTTCCCAACGAAGGACGTCAAGGACGAAGCCAGACTGGGAGTCCCAGTCGTGACCCCAAGTCGCCCCAGGATGGGGCGGGGACCCCCAGTTCTCCCCACTCCACCACCGCTCGTCATCCTCAGGGTCGGGAGCATCAGGAGGGAGCTCGAGAGATTGGGCACGAGGCAGAGGAAACCGGGCAACTAGAGCAGGAGCGGACGGGACGAGAGGGCGCTGACGCTACGGAAACCCATCTGACAACAGACGCAGAGGGAGGCAAGGAGCGGGCGGGAGGCACGAGAGGAGCACCACCGGGGAGACCGGGGGGAGGAGGAACTGGAGGAGACGAGGGGACCGGCGCCGGCGAGCGGGAGGAGGGCTGAGTAAGAGAGGGCCGCGAGCCTTGGGATTGCGATGCCGCAACATCAGATGATGGCGGCTGGGGCAGCTGGGACAACTCAAGAGACGCGGACGGTGAATGGGAGGGCGACGGCAATATGCGATGGGGAGGCGGCTGCTGAAGGAGGGGGCCGACGATCTGCCGCTGGACACAGGAGGGTGGCGAGGCGGACGACGATGGCGGAAGGAACCGCCACGGGCCCGGAGATGGGGATGAGTCCGCCCGCGAGGGGAACGGTAGACCGGCTCTCGCCGACGAGAGGGGGTTCTGCCCCCCTCGTGCTCAACCAGGGTAACAGAGGCTCGGAGCAGGACTGGCGCCAGCCCATCCTGGGCCCGTGACGGGCTGGGAGTAGCAGGACTGGGAGAACGACCAGAGCGCGGGGAGGGGCGGCGCTTTCCCGTCATCGAGGCCAGACCTGCACACAGAGACAGGGGAGGAGCAACGGTAGGCAGGGGAGACCAACAGAGGCAGGGAAGAGGCATACGAAGAGGAGAGGGCCGTTGCAGCGCGAAATGAGCGGAGGCAGTGGACAAAAACGAGCAGGCAGCGGACCTTACGGGAGCAGGCGGAAGACGGCGCGACAACACGGCAGCCGCGGAACACGGCGGGAAGAACGGGCACCAGGGGACGAGGGCGAGGCCGGGGCAGGGGAGGACGCGTGGGGGAGCTGGCGAGAGCGGTAGCAAGAGAAATAGCCAGATCTGGAAATTGGCGGGAGCGGCATGGGAGGCCAGAAGAACCGGACGCACCAGAAGTGCAACCAATGGACGAACCTGCGGAGGAATCGGAGTCAGAATATATTGGGGAAGAGGAGGCTGAATCGGAAGAAATCTCCTTGGAAGCCGAAGACGGGTGCCCGGGCTCGGGAGACGCAAGACGGGGACGTGGCGGTAGACAGAGGCGGGAGGGACAAGAGGCAATCGCTACTGCACAAGTGGGCGAATCAGCTCCGCCGCAAGCCAACGAGGCTGTCAGCAAGGAACGTTCACCCAGTAAAATCGCAGAGGACGACGACGTGTGGCGGATGGTGGAGAGCTGGGACCTGGACCCACTTCGGTCCAGCGTGCAACCTTTTCTCGTCAGGAAGCTTCCCCCCGAGATCTTGAAGTCCTTCTGCCACTGCCTCACAATACCCCTCCTTAGACTGTCGAAGGTTCCGAGCTACATGGGAGCATGGCGAGTCTTGCAGTTCTTGCCGAAGCTAACTTTGAGGGCAGGGCCGGAGAAACTCCCAGGTAAAAACCTCGAAGAAGTGGAGAATCGGCTCCGACAATTTTGAGAAGAAAACTGGGGCCCTCTATGCCTGCAGGCGTGCAACTTCCCGGCAAATTCACAACCAAGCAGGCACGAACCGGACACGGAGGGGATCTGTGCCAGAGTGGAGGGATTGGTTCGAAAGGCCAACTTGGCGAAAGCATCAGCGGCATTACAGACCTCGCCACTTGCAGAGCTGTCGCAAACAGCCCTGGAGGCACTGCAATCCAAACACCCACCGGCAGAGGTGGCGATTCCCGAAGGATTGGGTGGTTACGGGGATACGGCGCTCGCCATCAGCTTGAACTCGTTCCGCGATGTCTTGGCGAAGTGCCCGAACAGAATAGGAGCAGGCCCCTCAGGCACATGTTTCGAGCACCTACGGGACCCTGCCTTAACGAATGGGGAAGTCCTCGTGCTGCTACACCAGTTAGTAAATAAACTCCTCGGCACCTACCAAAGCGACGAGGTTAGAGATCTGCTCCTACCATCGAGGCTCATCGCGCTAGAGAAACCAGACGGAGGCGTTAGGCCAATAGCAATCGGGGAGGCCCTGCTCAGGCTCGCCGCGAAGGCAGCACTGCGAGAGCTAGCGGGGGAAATCCGCTCCCATTTCCTACCAGTGCAGTACGGAGTGGCGGTCCCGGGTGGAGCTCAGTGCATTATCCACACGGCCAGGACGCTGTTGGAAGAGGACCCCACTAAGACGATTCTACAGTTAGATGTAGAGAACGCCTTCAATTCGGTGGAGCGATCTCACTTCCTATCGACGCTACGGTGGACGGCACTAATATCCCTTCTCCCCCTTGCACGTACGTTATAGGCGCGCCGTCTCTCCTGCTGCTGGACAAGGGCTTCAACGTCCAAGCAATTGAAAGCGCACGGGGCGTGAGACAGGGAGATCCGGTTGGCCCTATTCTCTTCGCGGTGGCGATACAACCAACCCTACTGGCGGCGACGGTGGCAGTTCCGAACGTGACCGTGATGGCATACGCTGACGACATCACGATCATCGGACGGCCAGCATCGGCGACAAGAGCATTCAACATGATCAACGAAGGGCTGAGCGGACTTGGCCTTCGCTGCAACCTGACCAAATCGTCGGCTTGGAGCCCCTTGGGCAGCACAGGCGACCTGCCCGAGGGACTCGCAGCAGCGGTGGACGGAGTGAAGGTCCTCGGGAGCCCCATTGGCACGACGGCTTACTGCAGGCGCTCACTAAGGGAGGCGCTAGAAGGGATCGCCCTACCACTGCGGCTCGTCAGCAAATTACACCCACAACACGCGATGCTGCTGCTGTCCAGATGCATCTCTCGAAAAAATTCTTACCTACTACGCACGACGCCCGCAGATGTGCTGCCGCTCAGGGAATGGAGAGGATGGAGTGAGAGGCTGCTGTGGACAGCGCTGAGGGCGGCCCACATCAACGTCCCAAGCAAGGAGCTGGAGAAGAGCCTGGTGCGGAGGCAGGCGACTCTGCCCATTGCACTGGGAGGGGTGGGTCTGATAGACCCACTGTCAGAGGCACCAGCGGCATACCTCGCGTCCCTGAAGGCGGCACAAACACTGCTGCAACAGATGCCGCCCACCCCAAATCATCAACTGCGGCAGGTGGCGGCGCTGGTTTCACCCCTGGGAGACGGAGTGGCGGGAGGGGGGGCGTAGTGATACGGGACTTACGTGGAAGACTGCCGGAGACAGCACGGGAGCTTTTGAGGGAACCGGGTGAAAACAGGGGGGAAAGGGGCCACCTACAGGAGCGGTTATGAAGGCACATCAACCTACACAGAGCAGCGGAACTGGTCGGAGACACTAGGATGGACAAACCTAGCGAAGACAATGGCCATGTCGTGAGGTTGATAAGACTACAGGGGGTGGGGGCGGGGGACTGGCTACATGCATCCCCACACGGGCGGATTTGACCTTCTCACTGGGGCAGTTCGCGATAGCCCTGGGCTTCCGCTTGGGCTTGGAGCTGCCGGTGACGGACGTCTGCCCATGCCACAAGGAAAGGTCCAAGATTGGGGACCTTAGCTTGCCGAACCACCTGTTGCGGTGTGGGGAGGGGAAGGACCGAACGGATACGCACAACACCTTGGTGTACGCTACGCTGCGCATGGCTAGGGAGGCCGACTACTTGACCTTGCATGAGATCACAGTCTACTCGCAACCAGTTAACCCCAAGCGAGCGGACCTGGCCTTCAAGGATAAGGAATCGGCAGAGACGTGGGTGACGGACGTGACGGTAACGGATCTCGTCTTGCAGCTCCGCGACACAAGGGGGGTGAAACCACCGGGCTGGGCGGCAGAGGGCGCGGCAAGAGGGAAGAGGGGACTGTATGAGGGGCGGCCTGATTATGTAGGGGTGTTAGGGCTGGCGGTGGAGACATACGGGGCCCTGGCGCGCGACACACAGAAATTCCTGCGGCTACTAGGCACCCAGGCTGCCAAGAAAAAGTTTCGGCAGGGGAGGCTGACAACAGTGGCCTCCAAGCTCACGGCCCACTACCGGCAACGCTGGTCGGTGACGCTGCAAAGGAGCCAGGATAACACCTTCCTGGCAAAATCCAACAGAGCCACGGAACGGGCCTTTCTGCAGGCACCGGCAGACCCTTGGGAGCCCCGCCTAGGGGATCTCTGGCAGGTCCTCGAGGAGGACCTGGACTGGTGGCCGGACCTGGAGGTGTGAGGGGCTGGGGCAGAGGGGACCCTATGTAGTGAGCCCAAGGGGCCACACACTAGACAGGCACGGGCTAGTCGAGCAGACTAGCAGGACAGGGGTGGTTTGTTGCTTGCCTAGCCAGCTTGCGTGCTAGTCTTCATTTGAGCTCGGCTTACGCTGAGGGCGAGCACAGAGAAAGTTCCGGGAAACAGCCTCGACGCAGTGAAGAAAAGACTTCGACAATTCCGAGATGAAGGTTGGGGCTCACTGTACCTCCAAGCCTGCACAATCCCCGACATTTCCCAACCAAGCAGACACGAGCCTGACGCAGAAGGCATCTGCGCAAGGGTGGAGGGATTGGTCCGGAAGGCCAACCTGGCGAAAGCCGCGGGAGCATTACGAACCACTCCGTTGGCGGAGCCATCGCAACAGGCACTGGAAACACTCCGGGCGAAGCACCCGCGAGCGGAGATGGCGATACAGGAAGGGCTAGGGGGTTACGGCGAAACAGCACTCGCCATTGGCACAGAATCGTTCCGCGACATCCTGGCGAAGTGCCCGAACGGAATAGGAGCAGGCCCGTCAGGCACTTGTTTCGAACACCTACGGGACCCTGCTCTAACAAACGGGGAGGTATTCTTACTGCTGCACCAGATAGTTAATAACCTACTCAGCACGTACCAGGCCGCACCGCTGAGGGAGCTGCTGCTACCATCGAGGCTAATCGCACTGGAAAAACCTGACGGGGGAGTAAGGCCGATAGCGATTGGGGAGGCACTCCTTAGACTCACGGCAAAAGCGGCGCTACGGGAGCTGTCAGGGGAGATTCGCTCACACTTCCTACCAGTACAATACGGCGTGGCCGTACCGGGGGGAGCGGAGTGCATAATACACACGGCTCGTACGCTGCTGGCGGAGGACCCGACGCGCACGATATTACAGCTCGATATTGAAAACGCTTTTAATTCGGTCGAACGAGGGAGTTTTCTGTCGACACTGCTTTGGACCGGCGGACTGAGCTCACTGCTGCCATTCGCTAGAACCCTCTATGGCACGCCGTCGAAACTACTACTGGACAGAGGCTTCACTGTCAGCACCATCGACAGCGCCCGGGGCGTCAGGCAAGGAGACCCGCTCGGCCCCATGCTATTCGCTGCAGCCATACAACCGGCCCTGTTGGAGGCGGCGATGGGAGTCCCGGGCGCGACAGTGATGGCGTACGCAGACGACATCACTGTCATTGGCCAGCCGGCGGCCGCGACAAGGGCGTTCAATATGATAGTCCAGGGACTCGTCGGTCTAGGGCTGCGGTGCAACCTCACCAAGTCGTCGGCCTGGAGCCCCACGGGGAACACAACAGACATGCCGGAAGGATTGGCGGCGGCGGTGGACGGAGTGCAAGTCCTTGGGAGCCCCATAGGCACAGTAGCATACTGCAGGCGCACGCTTCGAGCATCGCTGGAGCGGATAGCCCTCCCGCTGAGCCTAGTCAGCAAGCTCCACCCACAACACGCGATGCTGCTCCTGTCGCGCTGCATATCGCGCAGAATCTCCTACCTTCTGTGCACTACGCCGGCGGACATTCTCCCCATCCGGGAATGGCGGGGGTGGAGCGAGAGGCTGCTGTGGACAGCACTGAGGGCGGCCCACATCAATGTACCCTCCAAGGAGCTAGAACAAAGCCTGGTGTGGAGGCAGGCGACGCTACCGATCGCGCTGGGCGGTGTGGGGCTGATAGACCCATTGTCAGAGGCACCGGCGGCATACCTGGCGTCACTAAGGGCAGCACAGATGCTGCTGCAGCAAATGCCGCCCTCGCCAAACCACCAGCTTTCGCAAGTGGCGTCGCTGGTGTCACCGCTTGGGGAGGGAGTGGCAGGAAGGGAAGGGGAAGCAATACGGGACCTGCGGAACAGACTCCCCGAGGAGGCGCGGGAGCTGCTAGGGGAGCCGGGTGTCAGCGGGGGAGGACGGGGACGCCTGCAGGAGCAACTGTCGCGCCATATCAACCTGAACCGGGCAGCGGAGCTGGTGGGCGACACACGGATGGATAAGCCGGGGGAAGACAATGGACACGTGGTGCGGTTGATCAGCCTGCAGGGGGTAGGCGCAGGGGATTGGCTCCACGCCATCCCCACACGGGCAGATCTGACGTTCTCGCCGGGTCAGTTTGCCTTGGCTCTGGGGTTCCGCTTGGGACTGGCGCTGCCGGTGACGGAAAACTGCTCGTGCCAGGGGGAGCGAGGGGAGATTGGGGACCTGAGCCTACCGAACCATCTGCTGCGGTGCGGGGAGGGGAAAGAGAGGACGAACACACACAACAACCTCGTGTATACGGCGCTCCGCATGGCCAGGGAGGCGGACTACCTTACCCTGTATGAGACCACGGTCTACTCGCAACCAATCAACTCCAAGCGAGCAGACCTGGCCATCAAGGACCGGGAGTCGGCCGAGACGTATGTGACGGACGTCACAGTGACGGACCCGGTCCTCCAGCGCCGGGACACTAGGGCAGTGAAGCCCCCGGGCTGGGCGGCGGAGGATGCGGCCAGAACCAAACGAGGACTGTATGAGGGACGGCCGGATTTCGTGGGGGTGTTGGGGCTGGCGGTGGAAACATATGGAGCCCTAGCGCGCGACACACAGAGGTTCCTCAGGCTATTAGGCAGACAAGCGGCTAAAAAGAAATTTAGGCAGGGGAGGCTTACCACTGTTGCCTCCAAACTCACAGCTCACTACCCCCAGCACTGGTCGGTAGCGCTGCAGAGGAGCCAGGCGAACGCATTCCTGGCAAAGTCTAACCGGGCCATAGAGAGTGCCTACCCACAGGCGGCGGCTGACCCATGGGAGCCCCGCCTGGGGGACCTGTGCCAAGTCATTGAAGATGACTTGGACTGGGGGCCAGCCCTGGAGGCGGGAGGGGCTGAAGTAAGGGGGCCCCGAGGCTGAGGTCCCTAGGTGCTAGGCTCACGGCAGGCCACGGCTAGCAGACCCAGCTAGCTTAGTTTTTATATGTTGATACTTGCTTGCATGAGCGCTTGCTGGCCCACATGATACCTAGACGGTATGCTAGGGGATTGCTTTGCTGCTTTATCATGTATGGCTTGTACCCCTCTATAATATTAATGAAGGACCGCTTGAGAGAGAGAGAGAGAGAGAGAGAGAGAGAGAGAGAGAGAGAGAGAGAGAGAGAGAGAGAGAGAGAGAGAGAGAGAGAGATGGCTTGGGGTTAGTCCTTAGCCGTTTTTCCATCCTCCTAGCCCTAGTCCTTAGTCCTTAGCCGTTTTTCAGTCTAGTTCCCTAGTATAAAGTCCTTAGATGCACCCATTTGAGCTCATTCTTCATTGGTGAGTTCAGTTCACCCTCCAAAACCGGCGGCTCGCGCCGGCCGCCGCGGCCTTTGGCCGCGCGTGAGGTATGGCAAGGTCAAAGGGGAGCAAGGACTATAGCAAGGGGAAGTACAACATGCAGTACTATACAGCACACAATAACAACAACACCCTCGGGCGTGGGGTAACCGCCATGGGGAAGCCCAAGGCCAAGCCTGTTAGCAAGGGGGCCGGCAAGGGGAAACCGCCCGCTACTCGGCGAGTATCCAGCACAGCCTCCCGTCCATCCAGCGCAGGACGGATGCGGCTGCTGATACAAGGCCGAGAGGGGCACCATGGGCAGACTCAGTGAGCCGCAACATCGCCCCAAGGCCGAGCCCGAGCGCTGCACCAGGGGCACCCTGCACAAGGCCGATCAGGGATAGGTAATGCAACATCTCCGTTGCCGCTGACTGCTCCGACGGCAGCATCCGCCCAACTTCGACACTCTGGCGCGCCAAACACACGTGGAGCTGGTCCAGAACGTACGACAACAACGCCAGGCACGTCCCCACGGGCATTACGCGCTGCTCGACGTGGAGAGGCGTCGCAGCTAGACGAGCAACAGCACGGGGAGCTGGTGGGGCGGGAGGGAATAGCAGCACCTGTGGAGGCGGCGGCGGCTGATGCAGCTGAGGCTGTGGCAGCGGTAACTGGTTTATCTGAGGCTGCCGATGCTGCTGGACTTGGGGCTGCGCTGCCTGCGGAGGCTGGGGCGGCCGTGGCGGCGTCTTCTGCGGCGGGGGCGATGGAGGCGCGGTCGGCGACAACGGCGGCGGGGACGGCGGGGGAATCGTCTGCTGTTGGGACTGCCACCGCCTCTGACGGCGGCTTAATTTCACCCTCCGCTGCGTGCCGGAGGGCAACACTGCTACCGGGGGGGGAGGCTGCGGAGGAAGCACAGGGGTGGGCTGACTCCCCGTCACCAGCAGCGGAGGCGGAGATTGCGGCGGTCGTGGCTGACGCAGTGGGGCGACGGGATGGACTCCTGGTCCGTGGTACAATGCAGACCGCCGCCGTGTTCGCCGAAACGACTGCTGCTGTCGCTGACGAAGATACGCAGGGGCACGACCAGCTCGTGGGCAGTAGACCGGGTCGCGGGAGCGGCGAGATTGTCCGCGCCGCTCGTGGGAAGGGGGGGAAGAAGATTCGAGCCCGGCCAGCGCCGAGACGGCCCGGAGCAGGGCTGAGACCCGCCGCCCCGGGACCCCTCCTGGGGTGGCTTCTGCAAGGGCAACCGCCACGAGCGCCAGGGCGTCAGTCGCCATTAACGGATGCCGAGACCGCACCACCCACGACTCAACGGGCAGCTACTGGGACACCGTCGGCGGGAGGGGAAGCAGCAGGAGCCCCGGAAACCGCAGGAACAGAGGCGGGATCCGTGGCGACGAGAAGAGCAGCAGCAGGTGGAGCGGACAGCACAACGGGGGTGCAGGGAACCAGGCGCTCTGCGAGGCTGGGGGCTATCTCCTGGGGACCGCCACGCGGTGGACGCACTCCCTGGATGCCGGCGGGCCGCGGAGGAGAAATCGGCACAGCGGGAACTGTCGGCGGAACTGGACGTGGGCAACGCGGAGGGGCCCGTGGGGGTTTCAGGGGGAGACGCGGGGGGCGGACCCCAATGGTCAGAACGGATGTCCCAGCGTGCACAGGCCCTTGGCGGGAGCGCCACAATAGGCCTGAGACAGCTGCGGTGGCCTCGGCGAATGAGGAGCGAAGAGATGCTGACGAGCCAGGATCGGACCCAGACTTTATGAGCGGCGAGGAGGAGGCATCCGAGGAAATCTCCTTGGACGATGAGACTGTACCAAGGAGGAACAACCCTGAACCCCCAGTGAGACAGACGGACGGGGGGGCCCAAGGAGATCCAGCGGGGGGAGGAGCTACAGCCACGGAGGACACCGATGTACCTTCGCCGTCCGACCTGGCGGAGGTTGACGCCATCTGGCACGCTGCGGGCTGCCGGGACGTGAAGGTCCTGCAGAGGGGAGATCAACCGTTCCTTGTCCGCCGTTTACCCCCGCCGATCCTCGACCGATATTGGCTGTGCATGCTGGCCGCCCTTTTCCGACTGGATAAATATCCCAAGTGCCCTGGTGGCTGGATGGTGCTACAATTCTTTCCGAGGCTCACCCTCAGGCCAGCAGCCGAACCTGCTGTGGGCAGCCGATGGACAGCTATCGAGGCTCGGCTGCACAAGTTTCAGCGGGGCGAGTGGGATGACCTTTTCGAGGAAGCAGGGGTCATCCCCGACACAGGTGGCCCGGTACGACACCAGCCCGACGAAGAGGGTGTTTGTGCTAGAGCCGAGGGACTAGTGAAGAAAGGCAATATTTCGAAAGCGGTAGCAGCCCTGCGAACGAGCCCTTTGGCAGAGGCAAATTCGGCAACACTGGAGGCACTTCAGGCGAAGCACCCTGTAGCGGAACAACCAATTCCCGCCTGAGTTACCGGAATAACAGATTCCGAGCTGTCCATCCCCCTGGACACACTTCGCAAAATTTTGGCGAAGTGCCCGAACGGGGTTGGAGCTAGACCTTCGGGAACCTGCTTTGAGCACCTAAGAGACCCGGCCCTTGCTAACGAGGAGCTGCTGCTTCTCTTCGCCAAGGTGGTGAATCGGCTTCTCAGCACGTTTCAGGCTACTAACGTGAGGGATTTGCTGCTGCCTTCACGCCTGATTGCACTAGAGAAGCCGAACGGAGGGGTATGGCCGATCGCGATAGGAGAAGCCCTGCTCAGGATAGTTGCTAAAGCAGCGCTGCACACGCTAGGACCCAAAATCAGAATTTTTTTTCTCCCGGTGCAATTCGGCGTTACGGTCCCTAAAGGTGCAGAGTGTATCATCCACACTGTCCGATCCCTTCTTCGTGACGACAAAACGCGCATAGCCCTCCAGCTGGACGTGGAGAATGCTTTCAATAGCGTCGAGCGCCCTTCCTTCCTGGCCTCGCTCCAATGGTCGAATCTCAGCCCGATACTTCCCCTCGTGCGCAACCTCTACGATGGCCCCTCACGCCTGCTTACCGACGAGCGCTTTGGCGTCGCCTCAATCCAGATTTTGCTAGGCGTGCGCCAAGGAGATCCCCTGGGCCCCCCGCGTGCGGCAGCATGCCTTGCATTCGCCAAGATAGCTAGAGAACTGGCGACGAGCGGCCTGCAGTGCAACATCTCCAAGTCTTCAACATGGGGCGCCGTGAACGAGGACACACACGCGGACTTGCCACTGGGCTTAACGGCAAACTCGGGAGGCATTAGGGTCCTCGGAAGCCCAATCGGCGGCGATGCCTTTTGCCCTCGGAAACCGAGCAGCTCTGGAGGAAGCAGCGGCACCTCTCCCCCTCATCTCCCGGCTTAATCCGCAACACGCCATGCTGATAGTATCCCGCAGTATCTCCCGCCGAATCTCCTACATGCTACGGACGACACCGGCGACGTGCCTTACCCGGGTGGAGTGGAGGGAATGGAGCGAAGCCTTGGTGGGCTCGGCACTTACAGCAGCAAAACTCCACATCCCCACATCGGAGTTAGAGCAGAGCCTACTGTGGCGGCAGTCCACGCTCCCAATTTGGCTGGGAGGCCTAGCCATCATAGACCCCATCTCGGAGGCTCCTACTGCCTACATTTCCTCGGTCACAGCTGCACATACCCTTCTGCAACACCTTAATCTACCCCCGGACTGCCTGCTCCACAAGGCGTCCTCCCTGCTCTCCCACGACTGGTCCCCACCGCCGCCGGCCATCAACACCCTGACCCACCTGGTCCCGGCACAGGTGGCACTAGGTGCCTACAGGACGGGGGGGCGTGGCACAGGCAGCCTCCAGCTGTGCCTCTCCAAATTCATCAACCAGCAGCGCGCAGCGGATCTGCTCGGTGACACAGTGGTGGACCGACCTGGCTCCAACAGGGGCCACGCACTACGGCTGATCAGTCTTACAAGTGCTGGTGCGGGCGACTGGCTTCATGCGGTGCCAACGAGAGCTGACCTCTCCATTTCCCCTGGTCAGTTCTCGTTGGCCCTAGGCCTACGCCTCGGTATGGAGCTCCCGGTAGCCGAGGTGTGCCCGTGCAAACGTGTCAACTCGGCGATTGGGGACAAGAGTCTCCCGAACCACCTACTGCGCTGCCAGGACGGGGGAGATGCCGTCAGGACTCACAATGCACTTGTCTATGCGGCGCTGCGAATGGCAAATGAGGCAGGCTATAAGACATTTCACGAAACCTCTGCCTTCTCACCGCCAGTCATCAGAAGACGGGCGGACCTAGCCATACGGGACCAGGAGTCAAGGGAAACATGGGTGACTGATGTCACCGTGACAGACCCAGTATTACAGAATAGAGACAGCAGGGCCCGCAGGCCGCCAGGGTGGGCTGCGGAGGAGGCCTCATAGAGGAAGCACCGGCTCTATGAAGGACGCCCAACCTATGCCGGCTTCTTTGGCCTAGCAGTTGAGACTTACGGGGCTATGGCTGCAGACACAATCCAGTTCCTTCGCATGCTGGCCACCCACGCGGCAAAGACGAAATTCAGACAGGGCCGCCTCACAACAACGGCCGCACGGCTGAATGCGCACTACCGACAGAGATGGTCGGTGATGCTGCAGCGCAGCCAAGCCATCTCTCTACTCTCCAAGTCTAACCGAGCAGCAGAAGCGGCCTTCCCCTAGGCTGCAGGAGACCCCTGGGCTCCACGACTAGGGGACCTATGGCAGATGACCGAGGATGAGTATGGTGAACGAGAGACACCGGCTAGGGCGGCTTAGGGGGGCTGGGGGGTGAGAGGGGCGGGGACAGGAAGATGGTGAGCTATTGCAGCTGGTGGCAAGGGACGAGACGAGGGATTGGAAGGCAGGAGGGGCTGGAGTTACTGCAGCTGGCGGGATAGGCTAAGCACTGGGCGACCAGGGTGCGCACACACACGGCATGCCTGATCTGCTTGCTTCGCTTGCTCGGCTTGCTTAGTAAGCTTGATCGTTGGTTGTTGGTTTGTCCGTCTGCTGGTTCTGTTAGCCTAGCTATCTGGTTGCTTGCATGCTTAGACAAACAAACTAGCTATCAACCCCTGCCATGCCTGTACTCCCTGAAACACTATCAATACATGATTGCTCAATGCCAGGCCATTTCGTTCCTTAACTAGTCAAACATGGCCGCGGAGGCGGCGTACCCCCAAGCACCGGTTGATCCCTGGGAACCAAGCCTGGGGGATCTCTACCAGATGCTTGAGGACGACCTCGGTGGTGTTTAGACTCTGGTAAGTGAGGGGCTGTAGAGCAGCCTGAGAGAGCGGCCTCAGGTGACTTGGTTTGCTTCTCCAGGGTCGGGCTGCATCACTTCCTGATATGTCGGTGTGCCTCTCTTCTGGTGTACGCTTTGCTTCCTTGCGGACTTGTTTGCTTGCATGCCTAGTCTAGCATACCTGTTAGAACCAGCCTGTGCCATGCTTGTATCCTATAAACAGTATCAATGAAGGACCGCTTGAGAGAGAGAGAGAGAGAGAGAGAGAGAGAGAGAGAGAGAGAGAGAGAGAGAGAGAGAGAGAGAGAGAGAGAGAGAGAGAGAGAGAGAGAGAGAGAGACTATTTGGACTGCTTCGATTTGCAGCGGCTATTCAGCCTACACTCCTCAGCGTCGCCACATCCGTGCCGGAAGTTGCAATCACGGCATATGCTGACGACATCACCGCGGTTGGCCCGCTGGAAGCAGCCTGTCAGGCTTTCCGTACGATCACGAGCAAGCTGGCGGAGCTGGGGCTGCGCTGCAACATCGCTAAATCATCTACGTGGGCCCAATCTTATGGTGAAGCCAGCGCCGAGCTACCGGATGGTTTGGTAGCCAACCCTGGAGGTACAAAGGTGTTGGGCAGCCCTATCGGGCACGATGACTACTGCACAGGCCAATTCAGAGCTACGCTGGAGGACGCGGTTACCCCGCTCCCGCTCATTGCCCAGGTGAACCTGCAGCACGCGCTACTGATCCTCTCACGCAGCATTTCTCGTCGGATTTCATACCTACTACGGTCGACACCGGCATCGGCTCTAAGTAGGGGGTGTTGTAGAGGACTCTCCTCTACTTTGTAGGAACTGGGATTTGTCCTACTCAATAGAGCTATGTCTTAGCTTTCCAACGAGCCGTCAATCACTTCGTTCGCCTAAGAAGCGAGTGAGCTATAGGTGGAAACGTGAAGACTATGCTCTAGGAACAAAGATTAGGAGCTCTCTGGAATTTTGTCGAGTTGTACCATGTACAAGAAGATTCAGGATTTCAGTATGAAGCATGCATACAAGGCAAGCTGATTTATAGGAAGCAAATAACATCGAACCGCACATGTAACACGAACCGCTACACTCGCGTCGCGAATGCGCCGCGTGTAACATTTCGGTTGGGGTGAAATTTGGTCGTCGAATTTCACCGAACCCGAATGTTTCTTCATCTCGAATGTTCGAGTGCTGCCATGTGGCACCAAACGAGAGGGTCTTCGAAGTCAACCTGCATCTTCTCGTAGCCTCACTCAAAAGTGAGCCCAACTAGCATTCGGTGGGTTGGGGGCATACAACCGCCCCACCACCGCTTGCTTCCAACACACGCGACTTCCAACAGGGGGGAGTGGAGGGAGTGGAGTGAAGGCTTGGTGGGATCAGCACTCACGGCGGCGAAGCTCCGTATCCCAACGTTGGAGCTGGGGCAGATCCTCCTATGGCAGCAAGTGACGTTACCGATCAGGCTAGGCGGCCTGGGAATCATTGACCCATGCTCAGAGGCCCCTGCCGCCTACATAGCCTCGGTCACAGCCGCCCATTCCCTACTGCTGCAGCTGAATCTACACCTGGGCTCCGATAATTTCATTCCCTATAATTGCAAGGCCCCTGTCGTCACATGGGGTCAGGAGCTCGAGCGCTTCGGAGGCTGTCAACAGTGAAGTCGAGAGCTTTACAGCCTGTGACCTGACGCGTCTGCACATTTCCACGCTGGAATGAGCTGGTGAAAGAGATTCGAGAAGGCTCCCAGGCAGGTTTTTCGTGGCCCACAAAGCAAACCAGCCGCACTAGATTCCTACGTGGCATAGAATGGACGGCCCAAGTGAAGGAGATGAATATGGGTAGAAACAAGCGTAACCGACTCAAAAACGATAACAACCACTGAGGTACAACACACACAACACCAGAGGAGAGCACGGTTAGTCTGATAATGGGGTTTTGGGTAATAATAAGTAGTCGTATAAACAATTCAGTATTTGATGATTTTGTGTTTGGGCCTTGGGCAGAAGACAGTTTACTTACTCACCCACTGTTTGACACTTTTCGTAATGTATGTTTTTGTGGCTCGATAGGAAGTCGGGCTTCTAAATGAACGGACCACCTCAGACTGTTTAACATGGGTCCTCACTGGCATGTTCCAGCGGGGACTGACTCAGCGCCAAAATATCTGCGCTTGGGGGGGTTGAAATTAGGGGGAACTTTTTTGTTCCCCATAATTTCAACCGCTGGGCTAAACGACAGAGGTGCGACCCGGTGCCCCGTCTCTGAAATTATCGGAGCCCAGGTGTACCTACGGACTGCCTGCTCCACCGCGCAACAACTCTGCTCTCCCACGAGTGGTCCCCACCGCCCCCGGACAGCAACCCCCTTACCTCCTTGGAGGCAAGCCTCCCAGCCCTGGCAAAGTCAGCGCTAGGTCAGTACAGAACAGAGAATACGGGCACGGGCAGTCTGCAGCTGCGCCTCTCTAAGCTCATCAATCAACAGAGGGCGGTAGACCTCTTAGGTGACACTGTAGTTGACCGCTCGGGCACCTACAGGGGCCACGCGATATGACTCATCAGTTTGAAAGGGGCGGGAGCAGGAGATTGGCTCCATGCTGTGCTGACGAGAGCCGACCTTAGCACAGTTCTCGTTGGCCCTAGGCCTCCGCCTAGGCATGGAGCTCCCGGTCGCTGAGGTCTGCCCATGCAAGCGAAGCAACTCTGCAATCCTGCTCAAGATCCTGGACAACGCACTTGTCTACGCGGCGCTGCGGATGGCGAACGAGGCGGGCTTCAAGGTGTTCCACGAGACCTGCGCTTTCTCACCCCCAGTCCTTCGGAAACGGGCAGACTTGGCCATCCGGGACCTGGAATCGGGCAAAACATGGGTGACTGAGGTTACTGTTACTGATCCAGTGCTGCAAAACAGGGACACTAGGGCACGTAGGCCGTCGGGGTGGGCAGCAGAGGAAGCTTCCCAGAGGAAGCATCGGGAGTATGAGGGGCGGCCCAGCTACGCCGGCTTCTTTGGGCTTGCAGTTGAGACCTACGGCGCGATGGCAGCTGACACGCTTCAATTCCTCCGCATGTTGGCCGCCAAGATGAAGTTCAGGCGGGGCCGGCTTACCAACACAGCAGCCCGGCTCAATGCTCACTACCGCCAGAGATGGTCGGTGATGCTGCAACAAAGCCAGGCCATATCACTTCTGTCCAAGTCCAACCGTGCGGCAGAAGCGGCCTTCCCTCAGGCAGCGGCTGACCCATGGGCCCCACGGCTTGGGGACCTGTGGCAGATGACCACGGATGAATATGAGGAGCGAGAGGCTCCTGCCAGAGCGGCTTAGAGGTGCAAGAGGGAAACGAGGGGGGCGGGGGGGGTGGAGAGGCAATAGCAGGGGTACTCTGGTTGGACAGGGGGAGAGGGAGGGAGGCTGGTGGGGGATCGGTGTGGGTGTTGCTGGACGGTTGGTTTTTCTCAGAGCTCAGGGACTAGTGTGTACACACACACGGCATGCCTGCTAGGCTGGCTCGGCCTGCACTGCACTACTTGTTCGGTTTTGCTAATTTGTTAGCATGCGGCTGTCTTGTTTGTTTGTTAGCTCTTGGTACCTGCGTGCCTACATGCTTAGACAGACTAGCTATACACTACCCCTGCCATCCCTGTACCCCATGACCACTATTAATGCAGGACTGCTTGAGAGAGAGAGAGAGAGAGAGAGAGAGAGAGAGAGAGAGAGAGAGAGAGAGAGAGAGAGAGAGAGAGAGATATGGCATAGCTTAGTCCTTAGCCATTTCTAGGCCCCTCTTCTCTAGGATCTAGTCCTTAGCCATTTCTAGGCCTGTTTCCTTAGTATAAAGGCCCTGGATCTAGGCTAGTGAGCTCATTATTCACTGGTGAGTTAGGATCACTCTCCAAATCCGGCGGCTCATTCGAGAGAGAGGGAGAGAGAGAGAGAGAGAGATGGCATAGCTTAGTCCTTAGCCATTTCTAGGCCCCTCTTCTCTAGGATCTAGTCCTTAGCCATTTCTAGGCCTGTTTCCTTAGTATAAAGGCCCTGGATCTAGGCTAGTGAGCTCATTATTCACTGGTGAGTTAGGATCACTCTCCAAATCCGGCGGCTCGCGCCGGCCGCCTTCGGCGTTTGCCGCTCGCCAGCGCGGCCTTCGGCCGCGCGTGAGGGGTGGCAAGGGTAGCAGCAACACAAGTCCTATAGCAGCATGTGGTACATCAAGAGCCACTAGCAGGGCAGAACAACAACACCACCCCCAGGCGAGGGAATTCCGCCATGGGGAAGCCCAAGGCAAGGCCCAGCACCACCGGAGCCTCCAAGGGAAAAACAACAGTCACCCCGGCGAGGATCCAGCACAGCCTCCCGTCCATCCAACGAAGGACGGAAGCGGCAGCTGACACAAGGCCGAGGGGGCCCTCCTGGGCAGACTCAGCTAGCCTCACCATTGCCCGGGGTCCGGGCCCGAGCGCTGCATCAGGGGCGCCCGGCACGAGGCCGATCAAGGGAAGATAGTGCAGCATCTCCGTCGCTGCAGCCACCGCCGCAGAGCGCTCAGCGGGCAACATCCCGTCAACCTCCAAGCCTTGTCGTGCCAAACACACGTGGAGCTGATCCAGTACGTACGACAGCAGCGTCAAACACGTCCCCACGTGCACAACGCGCTGCTCGACGAGGGGAGGCAGCGCGCCTGCAGGAGCGGCAGCAAGAGGAGCAGGCGGGACAGGAGGGTTTGGCGGCGCAGGAGGAGGCGGCGGCTGACGCAGTTGAGGCCGGGGCAGAGGAAACTGATTTACGGGGGGGATGTCGCTGCTGCGGGGTCAGGTTCGACGCGGCGGGGGGAGCAGGGTGCTGCGGCAGAGGCGGATCCGACGGGGACGGGGCGGGAGGCGCACTCGCCTGCTGCTGTGCCTGCAGCCGCCTCTGACGACGACTCAACCGCGCCCGCTGCGGGGCCGACGGCGCCACCAGCGGACGAGGTTGTGGCTGCGGAGGAGGCGCATGTGGAGCATGGATCGGCTGATTCACCGGCGCCATTGGTGGCGGTGTCCCCGTCACCTCTCGGGGAGGTGGAGATTGCGGCGGTCGTAGCTGAGGCAGCGAGGCAACCAGAACAACCCCCGAACGAACCGTTTGCGCCGACTGCCGCTGAGTCCGCCGGAATGTCTGCTGCTGCCGCGGCCGTAAACATGCGGGAGCGCGGCCAGGCGGCGGATGGAATTGAGGGTCCCGTGATCGGCGGCGCTTCTGGCGCCGCACCGGCAAGGAAGAAGGTGAAGCTACGCGCCCAGCCAGCGCCGAGGCGGCCCGGAGCAGGGCTGGGACCTGGGGTCCCGGGACCCCTCCTGGGCTGGCTTCGGCAAGGGCGGTTGCCACCAGAGCAAGCGCGTTTGTTGTCATCCGCACCACAGCCTGCAATGGGAACCGGCGGGAGGGGTAACACGGAGGCAGCTGACCGTGCACATCGGGGAACCGAGCAGCCAAGCAGGATGCAGCAACCAACGGAAGGATCACCCACGACCCAACAAGCAACTCACCGGGAAACACGTAGCTCGACGAGAGGCCGGGGAATTGTGTGGGGCAGGCCGTCGGGGGCAGGACGAGCGACAATGGTGACTCCCTGGGTGCCGGCCGGTCGGGGTTTAAGGTCTGCGCAGGAGAGCGCGAGAGGCGGCAGCGCTGGCGTACTCCCCGCGATCCCCCGTGGAGGCAGAGGGGGAAGAGGAGGGACACGCGGGAGGGGAGTTCCACTTCTGGGTGGCGAGGCTGCAATCGTGAGATCAGGCACGTGGCGTGATCGCCACGACCGCCCGGAGCGTGTACCTACGCCTGTGTGTGTGAATGGGGGCGAGGAGGGTTCTGAAAACTCCCAGAACGGGAGCGAGTTTATCCCCTCGCACTCAGAGGCATCGGAGGATTTGGTCTCCCTGGGCGACGATGAGAACCAACATGTGTCGGCGCAGGGGCGAGTGAGGAGGACGGAGCAGGGTGGCATGCCACAACCACCCAACATGCCAGCAGGACAGGCCCCAGCTGTGCCACCACCGCCATCCGAGAAATCGCCAGCTGACCTGGCAAAGGATGAGTCTTTCTGGCACCTGGCCAGCACTTGGGACATCGCACCACTCCAGCGTGCGGATCAACCGTTCCTGGTGAGGCGGTTGCCCCCAAAGATTCTGGAGAGCTACACCCTGTGCCTTCTGGCCCCGCTGTTGCGATTGGCTGAGAAACCAGACTGTCTGGGGGCGTGGACGGTGCTGCAGTTTTTACCCCGCTTGACCCTTCAACCTCTACCAGAGCCAGTGGACGGGAACCGCTGGATCAAGATTGAGACTCGGCTGCACCACTTCAGGATCGGGGATCTTGCCGATCTCTACAGTGAGGCATGCGCGATCCCCGATACTGAAGCCCCGTCACGACACCAGCCAGACTAGGCAGGCCTGTGCGCGCGAGCAGAAGGCTTGATAAAGAAGGCCAACATTTCCAAGGCAGTGTCTGCATTACAAGTGACCCCGCTGGCGGAACCAACACCTGCTACACTTGCAGCTTTACAGGCGAAACACCCTGTCGGGGAATTACCAATTCCGAGCTGGGTAACCAACCGCACCGGTGTACCTGCCTCGTCATTGAATCTGGCCCCAGGCGATCTCCGCGAAGTGCTAGCGAAGTGCCCGAATGGAGTTGGAGCGGGCCCCTCTGGCACTTGTTTTGAGCACTTGAAGGACCCGGCCCACAGCAGCGAGCGAGTCCTACTGCTCCTCACAAAGGTCATCGGCCAGCTACTTAACAGTTCACAGACAAGGGAGATATGCGACGTGCTCCTCCCGTCACGGCTGATAGCACTCGAGAAGCCAGGGGGGGGCGTTCGACCCATCGCTATAGGCGAGGCCTTGCTTAGAGTCGCGGCGAAGGCGGCGCTACGCGAGTTAGCCCCAGCGATCCGTGAATTCTTCCTACCGGTCCAGTATGGCGTGTCAGTGCCTGGTGGCGCCGAATGTGTCATTCATTCCGTACGGGCCCTGCTCCGAGAACATGACAACTATGTAGCGCTCCAGCTGGACGTAGGAAACGCGTTTAATTCGGTTGAGCGGGAGGCGTTCTTCACGGCGCTAGAAATCTCGGACTTGCACCAGCTGCTGCCGTTCGTAGGGCTGCTGTACGACTCGCCATCGCGCCTTCTAGTTGACCCGGCCCTAGGAGTTGAGCACATCTTGAGCTCCCGCGGCGTGCGTCAGGGCGATCCCCTCGGCCCTCTCCTTTTTGCAGCAGCGATTCAATCGACCCTAACGTGCGTGGCATCTTCTCATCCAGGGGCGGCAGTCATAGCGTACGCTGACGACATCACAGTGGTAGGGCCGCGGGAGGAGGTGTTCAAGGCCTTCGATGCCATCGTCGAAGAGCTGGCAAAGCGCGGGCTACGGTGCAACGTGGCAAAGTCGTCGGCATGGGGACCGCGAGAGGGAAACGAGGGGCAGCTGGGACTGCCACAGGGATTACGGATGAGCACCGGGGGGATCAAGGTGCTTGGCAGCCCCATCGGCACGCCGGAGTACTGCACTGCTGAGATCCGTCAGGCGCTCGCCAAAGCATCGGCACCTGTCCCTCTTATAGCGCAGCTGCACCCACAACACGCCCTGCTACTCCTCTCCCGCAGCATCTCCCGCAGGATCTCCTACCTGCTTCGCACCACACCAAGCATCACGTTGGACCGGGAGGAGTGGAGAGGGTGGAGCGAGTCGTTGGTAGGGGCGGTGCTTACACCCGCCAAGCTACGGATCCCTGCGAGTGAGCTGGAACAGAGCCTCTTGTGGCGTCAAGCGACCCTGCCCGTGCGCCTTGGGGGGTTGAGCATCATTGATCCCGTTTCTGAGGCACCGGCGGCGTATATTGCATCCCTGACAGCAGCGCTTCACCTGCTGCAGCAGATGAACTTGCGGGAGCAGGAGCTGTTGGCACGGGCCGAGACGCTGCTGACCAGAGATTGGGTCCCCCCGCCCCCAGCGTCAAACTATCTGGTGGCACTAGAGGAGGGGCTGCCGACAGAGGCACGGACAGCACTACAGACCTACCGGGAAGGCCCCCAGGGGTAGGGTAACCTGCAGCTCCTCTTGTCCAAGCACATCAACTCGGTACGGGCCAGGGAGCTGCTAGCCGACACTATGGTCGACAGACCGGGGGAAGACCAGGGGCACGGGGTACGGCTAGTGAGTTTGAAGGGAGTGGGGGCCGGGGATTGGCTCACGCAGTGCCGACGAGATCTGACCTTACATTTGCCCCTGGTCAGTTCTCGTTGGCACTCGGGTTCCGCCTCGGGATGGCCCTACCAGTCACGGTCAAGTGTCCCTGCAAACGTGACAACTCGGAAATCAAGGATACTAGTCTGGCGAATCACCTGCTCCGGTGTGGGGAAGGGGGGGACGTGGTGAGGACGCATAACGCCCTGGTCTACACGGCTTTGAGATTGGCGAGGGAGGCGGGTTTCAACACCTTCCATGAGACATCGGTGTTTTCCCCCCCGGTCCACCGCAAGAGGGCAGACCTGGCGTTCCAGGATAGGGAATCAGCGGAGACCTGGGTCACGGATGTAACGGTGACCGACCCAGTGCTGCAGAAGCGGGACCCCAGGGTGCGGAAGCCACCGGGGTGGGCTGCCAAGGAAGCTTCCGAGAAGAAGCACCGCCTGTATGACGGCCCCCCTGACTATGTGGGGTGTTTCGGCCTAGCAGCCGAGACCTACGGGGCGCTGGCGACCGATACTGTGCAGTTTCTTAGGCTGCTAGCTATGGCCACAGCGAGGAAGAAATTCAGGCAGGGGCCGCTCACCACCACCGCCTCTCGCCTCAATACTCACTACTGCCAACGCTGGTCAGTCATGCTGCAGCGATCCCAGGCGATCTCGTTCCTTAACAAGAGCAACATGGCAGCCGAGGCAGCCTTCCCCCAAGCACCTGCGGACCCCTGGGAGCCGAGCCTAGGGGACCTCTGGCAGGTGCTTGATGATGACCTTGCAGGAGTGTAAGCGCAGCCGGGGGTGAACCAGGGATGTAGGGTTGAACAGGAGGTTGTGAGGACCTAGGCAACTCAATTGGTAGCCCCAGGCCTGCCATGGCAATGGCCACTTGGTGAACTTCCTTAGCATCTCATTGCTGGTCTTGTTTACATGCTGGTTTATCTGCCCTACATGTTGCCTGCCTAGGTTAGCCTATCAGCCAGTGTCATACCCTGCATGCCTGTACCCTTTCACCAACATTAATGCATGACTGCTTGAGAGAGAGAGAGAGAGAGAGAGAGAGAGAGAGAGAGAGAGAGAGAGAGAGAGAGAGAGAGAGAGAGAGAGAGAGAGAGAGAGAGACCCTTGGGTCCTAGTCCTTAGTCATTTTTAGCCTACACCCTTAGCCTAGCCTAGTCCTTAGTCTTTTCCGCCTAGTTCCCTAGTATATAAGGGCAAGGAGCCCATTCTCCTCCTCATTGTTTGGAGGGGAGTTCATTCTCACTGCAAAAATCGGCGGCTCGCTCGAGAGAGAGCGAGAGAGAGAGAGAGAGAGAGAGAGAGAGAGAGAGAGAGAGAGAGAGAGAGAGAGAGAGAGAGAGAGAGAGAGAGAGAGAGAGACCCTTGGGTCCTAGTCCTTAGTCATTTTTAGCCTACACCCTTAGCCTAGCCTAGTCCTTAGTCTTTTCCGCCTAGTTCCCTAGTATATAAGGGCAAGGAGCCCATTCTCCTCCTCATTGTTTGGAGGGGAGTTCATTCTCACTGCAAAAATCGGCGGCTCGCGCCGGCCGCCGAAGGCGGCCGGCGCTCGACAGCGCGGCCTTCGGCCGCGCGTGAGGGGTGGCAAGGCAACAGCTGCATTGATACAAGCACACCGTACAAACATGCAGCACTAGTAGGGCCCTAGCAACGAGGCCAAGGTAAGTTGGATAGCCGGGGGCGGGAGAAGATGGGGAACAAGAAGGCACAGGGCAAGGCACAGGGCAAGGCACAAGGCAAGGCCCAACAAAGGCAGATTGTCACACGTGATTCAGCACGTAAAACCGCCGCCGTAGCCAGCGGAGAAAGGACGCGAGCGCGGGCACAAGCTGGAGGGGAGCCTGTTCGGCAGCCGTGGCTACCCTGCGGAAAGCCCTCGCGCCCGGCCCCTCGTTTTCGTCAGGGCGATCGAACTCCAGAGGCAAACGGAGGAGGCGCCAAAGACCCTGCGCCGCAGCTTCACGCACAAGGCCCTGCTGGGGCTCCGTCAGCTGGGGATCCCGGAGCACTAGATTCTGCGCCTCCAGACCAGCATGCAACTGCTCCAGTGCGGTCGCAACATGGGAGAGACATTCGCCAACCCCGATCATGCGCCGCTCCCAGCGAAGCACGTCCAGAACGAAATCGGACCGGATGTCCCAGTCCCGACCCCACAACGTCCCGGACTGGGGAGGAGACTCCCACGAATCGCCGTTCCACCACGCCTCGTCGTCTTCAGGATCAGGTGCGTCAGGAGGGAGCGGAGGAGAATGGCAACGAGGAGGAGGGAATCGAGCGACAGGGGAGGGGTCGAGTGGAATCAGAGGATGTAGCCGCTGAGGAGGATCACCAGGGGAACTTGCAGACGGGGTGGGCGGCACACCGGCAGGATGCACAAGAGGTGCCCCAACCGCAGCGGCCTGCGGCGGGGGAGCCGGAGGAGGTGGCGCACGCGCTGCCGGAGGAGACTGAGCCAACGGTGGGGCGGGAGGAGGTGGAGGAGCCAATGGCGTCGACGGCGCCGACTCAGCAGGCACGGACGATAGCTGCTGGGACGACTGGAGAGATGCTGACGGACAACGCCGCGGCGTCGGCACCAAGAGGCGGTGACTGCGCGTCGGACACAGGGGCCCGACAATCTCTCGCTGGACACCGGGAGGGTGTCGAGGCGGACGGCGACGTCGGAAGGAGCCGCCACGAGCCCGGAGATGTGGATGGGTCCGCCCGCGGGGAGAGCGATAAACTGGCTCGTGACGACGGGGGGAGGAGCCGGCCTCCTCGTGCGCGACCAGGGCAACGCCGGCTCGGAGCAGGGCTGGCGCCAGCTCGCCCCGGGCCTGTGAGTGGCTGGGAGCAGCAGGAGAACCAACCGAGCGGTCCGACCGAGAGGAGGATCGACGCTTGCCAGTCATCGCCACGGGGCCTGCAGGCACAGGGAGGTGAGGGAGAGGAAAATCGTGTGGCGGAGCATCTCGAGGAGAACGAGTACGGGGAGGAAGAGGGGGTAGCGACGGTGACGGCAGCGTGGCAAAGTCGGAGGAACGAAACTAGCAGGCAAAGGACCTTACGCGAGCGGGTGGAGGAGAGGGCGATGGGGCAGCAGCCGCGAAACGCGGCGGGACGCACGGCCACACAGGGACGCGGGAGGGGCCGGGGCAGGGGGGGACGGGTGGGGGAGTTGGTGAGATCCGTAGCAAGAGAAAAAGCCAGATCCGGAAATTGGCGGGAACGTCATGGGAGGCCAGAGGAGGAGAATGGAGAACCAATGAATGTCGCCGCAGAGGAAGAAGAGTCAGAATATATGGAAGAGGAAGAGGCTGAATCGGAGGAGGTGTCTGTGGAGGCCGAAGACGGGATCCCAGCTGGCAATGAGGGCAGACGGCGACGTGGCGGACGCCGAGGACACGACGGAAATAATCCTAACGGGGCTGGACAGGTGGGCGAATCACCAGCCCAACAGACTAATGAATCTGCCAGCAAGGAGCGCTCACCAAATGACATCGCGGACGATGATGACACATGGCGGGCGGTGGAGAGTTGGGACCTAGACCCATTGCGAGTCAGTTCCCAACCATTCTTGGTCAGGAAACTTCCCCCGGAAGAACTGAAGTCGTACAGTCACTGCCTGACGATTCCCCTACTACGACTCTCGAAACATCCGGGCTGAATGGGCGCGTGGAGGGTGCTGCAATTCCTGCCTCGGCTTACGCTGAGAGCGAGCACAGAGAAAGTTCCGGGAAACAGCCTCGACGCAGTGAAGAAAAGACTTCGACAATTCCGAGATGAAGATTGGGGCTCACTGTACCTCCAAGCCTGCACAATCCCCGACATTTCCCAACCAAGCAGACACGAGCCTGACGCAGAAGGCATCTGCGCAAGGGTGGAGGGATTGGTGCGGAAGGCCAACCTGGCGAAAGCCGCGGGAGCATTACGAACCACTCCGTTGGCGGAGCCGTCGCAACAGGCACTGGAAACACTCCGGGCGAAGCACCCGCGAGCGGAGATGGCGATACAGGAAGGGCTAGGGGGTTACGGCGAAACAGCACTCGCCATTGGCACAGAATCGTTCCGCGACATCCTGGCGAAGTGCCCGAACGGAATAGGAGCAGGCCCGTCAGGCACTTGTTTCGAACACCTACGGGACCCTGCTCTAACAAACGGGGAGGTATTCTTACTGCTGCACCAGATAGTTAATAACCTACTCAGCACGTACCAGGCCGCACCGCTGAGGGAGCTGCTGCTACCATCGAGGCTAATCGCACTGGAAAAACCTGACGGGGGAGTAAGGCCGATAGCGATTGGGGAGGCACTCCTTAGACTCACGGCAAAAGCGGCGCTATGGGAGCTGTCAGGGGAGATTCGCTCACACTTCCTACCAGTACAATACGGCGTGGCCGTACCGGGGGGAGCGGAGTGCATAATACACACGGCTCGTACGCTGCTGGCGGAGGACCCGACGCACACGATATTACAGCTCGATATTGAAAACGCTTTTAATTCGGTCGAACGAGGGAGTTTTCTGTCGACACTGCTTTGGACCGGCGGACTGAGCTCACTGCTGCCATTCGCTAGAACCCTCTATGGCACGCCGTCGAAACTACTACTGGACAGAGGCTTCACTGTCAGCACCATCAACAGCGCCCGGGGCGTCAGGCAAGGAGACCCGCTCGGCCCCATGCTATTCGCTGCAGCCATACAACCGGCCCTGTTGGAGGCGGCGATGGCAGTCCCGGGCGCGACAGTGATGGCGTACGCAGACGACATCACTGTCATTGGCCAGCCGGCGGCCGCGACAAGGGCGTTCAATATGATAGTCCAGGGACTCGTCGGTCTAGGGCTGCGGTGCAACCTCACCAAGTCGTCGGCCTGGAGCCCCACGGGGAACACAACAGACCTGCCAGAAGGATTGGCGGCGGCGGTGGACGGAGTGCAAGTCCTTGGGAGCCCCATAGGCACAGTAGCATACTGCAGGCGCACGCTTCGAGCATCGCTGGAGCGGATAGCCCTCCCGCTGAGCCTAGTCAGCAAGCTCCACCCACAACACGCGATGCTGCTCCTGTCGCGCTGCATATCGCGCAGAATCTCCTACCTCCTGCGCACTACGCCGGCGGACATTCTCCCCATCCGGGAATGGCGGGGGTGGAGCGAGAGGCTGCTGTGGACAGCACTGAGGGCGGCCCACATCAATGTACCCTCCAAGGAGCTAGAACAAAGCCTGGTGTGGAGGCAGGCGACGCTACCGATCGCGCTGGGCGGTGTGGGGCTGATAGACCCATTGTCAGAGGCACCGACGGCATACCTGGCGTCACTAAGGGCAGCACAGATGCTGCTGCAGCAAATGCCGCCCTCGCCAAACCACCAGCTTTCGCAAGTGGCGTCGCTGGTGTCACCGCTTGGGGAGGGAGTGGCAGGAAGGGAAGGGGAAGCAATACGGGACCTGCGGAACAGACTCCCCGAGGAGGCGCGGGAGCTGCTAGGGGAGCCGGGTGTCAGCGGGGGAGGACGGGGACGCCTGCAGGAGCAACTGTGGCGCCATGTCAACCTGAACCGGGCAGCGGAGCTGGTGGGCGACACACGGATGGATAAGCCGGGGGAAGACAATGGACACGTGGTGCGGTTGATCAGCCTACAGGGGGTAGGCGCAGGGGATTGGCTCCACGCCATCCCCACACGGGCAGATCTGACGTTCTCGCCGGGTCAGTTTGCCTTGGCTCTGGGGTTCCGCTTGGGACTGGCGCTGCCGGTGACGGAAAACTGCCCGTGCCAGGGGGAGCGAGGGGAGATTGGGGACCTGAGCCTACCGAACCATCTGCTGCGGTGCGGGGAGGGGAAAGAGAGGACGAACACACACAACAACCTCGTGTATACGGCGCTCCGCATGGCCAGGGAGGCGGACTACCTTACCCTGTATGAGACCACGGTCTACTCGCAACCAATCAACCCCAAGCGAGCAGACCTGGCCATCAAGGACCGGGAGTCGGCCGAGACGTATGTGACGGACGTCACAGTGACGGACCCGGTCCTGCAGCGCCGGGACACTAGGGCAGTGAAGCCCCCGGGCTGGGCGGCGGAGGATGCGGCCAGAACCAAACGAGGACTGTATGAGGGACGGCCGGATTTCGTGGGGGTGTTGGGGCTGGCGGTGGAAACATATGGAGCCCTAGCGCGCGACACACAGAGGTTCCTCAGGCTATTAGGCAGACAAGCGGCTAAAAAGAAATTTAGGCAGGGGAGGCTTACCACTGTTGCCTCCAAACTCACAGCTCACTACCGCCAGCGCTGGTCGGTAGCGCTGCAGAGGAGCCAGGCGAACGCATTCCTGGCAAAGTCTAACCGGGCCATAGAGAGTGCCTACCCACAGGCGGCGGCTGACCCATGGGAGCCCCGCCTGGGGGACCTGTGCCAAGTCATTGAAGATGACTTGGACTGGGGGCCAGCCCTGGAGGCGGGAGGGGCTGAAGTAAGGGGGCCCCGAGGCTGAGGTCCCTAGGTGCTAGGCTCACGGCAGGCCACGGCTAGCAGACCCAGCTAGCTTAGTTTTTATATGTTGATACTTGCTTGCATGAGCGCTTGCTGGCCCACATGATACCTAGACGGTATGCTAGGGGATTGCTTTGCTGCTTTATCATGTATGGCTTGTACCCCTCTATAATATTAATGAAGGACCGCTTGAGAGAGAGAGAGAGAGAGAGAGAGAGAGAGAGAGAGAGAGAGAGAGAGAGAGAGAGAGAGAGAGAGAGAGAGAGAGAGAGAGAGAGAGAGAGAGAGGAGTGAGCGGCTACTTTGGACAGCCCTCAAGGCGGCCCACCTGCACACGCCGACAAAGGAGCTCGAGCAAAGCCTGGTGTGGAGACAGGCGACTCTGCCGGTGGGGCTAGGAGGTTTAGGGCTCATGGACCCACTGTCAGAGGCACCAGCGGCCTACCTGACCTCACTAAATGCAGCCCAGACCCTCCTGCAGCAGGTTTTGGCCACGCCAGATCGTCCGCTGCAACGCGTAGTGGAGCTGGTTTCACCACAGGGGAAAGGGGCAGCAGTGGGGAGCAGAACAACGCTACAGGATATGCGGAACAGGCTCCCAGAGGCGGCACAGGAGCTGCTTAAGGGATTCAGCCAGGAAAATGGGGGGAAGGGGCAACTACAGGAGCTCCTCTCCAAGCATATCAACCAGGACCGGGCAGCAGAACTGTGGGCGACACTCGGATGGATAAACTGGGGGAGGACACCGGCCATGTGATCCGCTTAATCAGCCTGCAGGGAGTAGGGGCAGGGGATTGGATACACGCCATCCCTACGAGAGGGGACCTGACGTTTTCGCCGGGACAATATGCAATAGCCCTGGGTTTTCGCTTGGGACTGACCCTGCCAGTGACAGACACATGCCCGTGCCACGGGGAACGGTCGAAGATTGATGACCGGAGCCTCCCCAACCACCTGCTGAGGTGCGCGGAAGGAAAGGACAGGACCCTGGTGTATGCACAACTCCCTGGTGCATGCGGCACTGCGAATGGCACGCGAAGCGGACTACATGACTTTGCATGAGACCACTGTCTACTCGCAACCCGTCAACCCTAAGCGGGCGGACCTGGCCATCAAAGGCCGTGAGTCAGCTGAAACGTTTGTTACAGACGTCACGGTCACTGATCCGGTGCTGCAGCGGCGTGACATTGGGGCCATCAGGGGGCCGGGCTGGGCGGCAGAGGAAGCGGCAAGGACGAAAAGGGGTCTGTACAAGGGGCGCCCAGACTTTGTAGGGGTATTCGGGCTAGCAGTGGAAACCTATGGGGCCTTAGCGTAGGACACCCAGAGGTTCCTCCGCCTCCTCGGCACACAGGCTGCGAAGAAAAGGCACAGGCAGGGGAGGCTCACCAGAGTGGCCTCCAAGCTGACTACGCATTACCGACAACGCTGGTCAGTGATGCTGCAGCGCAGCCAGGCAAACGCCCTGCTAGCGAAGTCCAACAGGGCGACAGAGAGGGCCTCCTTCCAGGCCTCAGTTGACCCGTGGGAGCCCAGCCTCGGGGACCTCTGGCAGGTCCTTGAGGACGGGCTGGACTGGGGGCCGGCCCTGAATGGGTGAGGGGGAAAGGGGGCTGGAGTGAGAGGACACTCCAGGCCGCGGTCCTAGGGTATTGGGCACTAGGGGGGCCTTTCGGCTGCGCTGGCCAACTAGCAGGCGGACCATACAGGAGTGTGATGGCTTGGTCATTGTTGGGGTTGCTTGGTTGCATGCTAGCCGGCTAAATACCTAGACTGCATGCTTAAATGCCAAAACTTAACTCTCTTGCATGCCTAGAGTCTGCTTGCTAGAATCTTGCACATGCCTTGCTTGTACCCCTTAAACAAATCAATGAAGGACTGCTTGAGAGAGAGAGAGAGAGAGAGAGAGAGAGAGAGAGAGAGAGAGAGAGAGAGAGAGAGAGAGAAAGAGAGAGAGAGAGGGAGAGAGAGAGAGAGAGAGAGAGAGAGAGAGAGAGAGAGAGAGAGAGAGAGAGAGAGAGAGAGAGAGAGAGAGAGAGAGAGAGAGATGGCTTGGGGTTAGTCCTTAGCCGTTTTTCAGCCTCTTAGTTCTTAGTCCTTAGCCGTTTGTAGCAGTGCTTTCCTAGTATAAAGCCTCTAGATGCATCCCTTGGGGCTCATTCTTCACTGGTGGGGTCAGTTTACTCTCCAAAACCGGTGGAAGAGGGACGGCAAGATATAAATAAAGCACTGATTACAACATGCAGTAAGCCGATTTACACCAACCACTACACCCCCGGGCGAGGAGTAACCGCCATGGGGAAGCCCAAAGCCAGGCCAGGAACGATGGAGGCTGGCAAGGGGAGGGGGCCTGCTACTCGGCCAGAATCCAAGAAAGCCGCCCATCCATCCAACGCAGCACGGCCGCGGCAGCCGGCACGATGTCGCGTGGTGCCTGCATGGCGGCAAGGGCAAGCCGCCTCAGTGAAGCAGGGCCAGGCCCCAACGCGGAGCCAGGGGAACCCGGCACCAGCCCGATCAAGGGCAGCATGTGCAGCATCTGAATTGCCGCTGTGGCGGCCTCCTCTTGTTCCTGCTGCGCCATTGGGGGAGGCACATCCCCAGGACGCGACAGACGCGCCTGATACATGTGCAACTGGTCCAGGACCATCGCCAGCAGGGACAGGGTAGTCCCCACGTGCCCAACGCGCGTCTCGACGCGGTCACGCCGAGGAGAGATTGGCGGAGTCAATGCTGCCGGAGACAACGGGGCAGAGAGATCGGGTTCGGCGCCCTAAGATACCTGCGGCTGAGGCTGCGCGGGAGCGGAAGCTCACAAGCGGACGGCAAGGGTTGACGCGGCCACTGCGATTGAGACTAGGGTTGCTGACGAGGCGGTGGCTGGTGGGGTGCCTGTAGGAGCTGCGGCTCTTGGGGCGACGGAGATTGTGCCGGCGGCGACGGAGATTGCAGAGCCTGTTGGGGAGGCATGGGCGGCTGCCGAGGCTGTTGCTGCCGCTGGCGGCGGCTCATCTTCACCCTTTGCCATGGGCGCGTTTGCCCCACCACCGGCACAGGGTTTTGGACCGTGTTCCGGATCGGGTCTTGGATCGGGGGCAGTGCTGTCAGAAGCGGAGGAGCCGGCGCCGCCACAGCCGCCGAGGGCATCAACGGATGCAGAAGGTGCGGAGGTGGCCGTGACGTCTACCGCTGCGTGCGCCGGAACTCCTGTTGCCGCCGTGGCCGCAAGCACGCGGGAGCACGGCCATGCGGAGGATGATAGAGTGGATTCCACGAACGGCGCTGCCTCCGATGATGCCCGGACGACGTCGAAGAAGAAGCTGCGGGCCCAGCCAGTGCCGAGAAGGCCTGGAGCAGGGCTGGGACCTGGCTCCCCGGGTCCCCTCCTAGGCTGGCTTTGGCAAGAGTAGACGCCACGATCGCAAGGGCGTCAACCGCCATCTGCGGAGCCAAGGATTGGGGAAAGCGAAGAAGAGAGCAGTGTCAGGCAAGCACGACCTTCAGGCACAAGGGCGGGACGCATAGCACCGGAAGCTGGAACCCCGCAAGCGCCACAGCGAGAAACACTGCTGTGATGTAGTCAATCTTTGCCATTGCTTGTTATCATTCTGAACTCCGTATTCTCAACTTTTCCTTAGTGAAACTCTTGCTGTTTTGCCCTGTGAAAACACAAGCCCTAGAGAACATAGACAGAGCTACGATCACTCTAACAACTCGTGCCAACCCTGTAGTCTAGCTCCCACCGTTGTAGAGTTAATCTCTGCACCATCAAATCTCGTTACCCCATCCCACGAGCCGACGAATTGATCGACCAACTGCGAACAGCCCGAGTTTTCTCGAAAATCGACCTTCGAGGAGGCTACCACCAGATCCGAGTCAACCCACCCGACTGCCCGAAAACAGCTTTTCGAACGCGCTACGGATCCTTCGAATACACCGTCATGCCCTTCGGACTGACCAACGCCCCTGCCACTTTCCAAATGACCATGAACGAAGCCTTCCACTCGCTTTTAGATAAGTGCGCCATCGTGTACCTCGACGACATACTGATTTGCATCCCCGACCGAGCACAACACCTACAGGACATCGAAGCAGTTTTTAAAATACTGACTGCAAACCGCCTACTGACCACAGCTTCTAAGTGTGAGTTTTTACTTGACAGACTGGAGTTTTTGGGACACATCATTTCAGCTGAAGGAGTGGACATAGACCCGAAAGCAAATCGCGATGATTCAAGCGTGGCACGCGCCGACCAACTTGACCAAGCTGCAGAGTTTTTTGGGTTTCGTCAACTACGTGCGCCGGTCCGTCCCCGACATGGCGAAGTTGACTGCTCTGTTGACCGACCTGCTGAGGAAGGGGGTTGAGTACACGTGGGGGGAGAAAGAGCAAGCTGCCTTCTCGGCCCTCAAACAAATTTTGTGCTCGCCGCCCGTGCTTCACATCGCAGATCCGCACCGTCCGTTCGAGCTCGTCACCGACGCTAGCGACATCGCCGTGGGAGCAGTACTGCTGCAGGACTTTGGGAACGGCCTCCAGCCAATCGCGTACGAGTCCCGCAAGCTCCACCCGCCCGAACGCAACTACTCGATATACGACCGCGAGATGCTGGCGATCGTGCACCCATTCAAGGTGTGGCGATGTTACCTCACGGGAGCAGACGTGACAGTACGGACAGACCACCGATCTCTACAGTACCTTCGCGCCCAACCGAATCTCAACCCACGACAGATCCGCTGGTTGGACTACCTGGAGTCCAACTTTCACTACACGGTCACGTACAAAAAAGGCGCATCCAACATCGCCGACACACTCACACGCCCCACTGCCCAACTCCACGCCATCCTACTCGCCCAAACCAACCCACTGTTAACAGGCCTATTCACCCACGGATACAGTACCGACCCATTTTCACGACCGGAAGTTCACAGCAACTGGCAGAGGCCAAAGGCGTCTATTACGTAAAAACGGGTACCAACCGCATCTGGGTACCCGCGTACTCACTACTGAGGGAACTGTTACTGCAGGAGGCACACGACGGGATTACCTCGGGACATTTCGGGGTAGAAAAAACGCGACAGCAACTGCAGCGGTATTACTACTGGCCGGAGCTGTTGACCGACGTACAGCACCACGTGGGCTTATGTCCTATGTGTCAGGTGATGAAGAGCTCGCGAAAAAGAAAGGCGGGTCAATTGCAGCCGATTCCACCGCCTGAGTGCGCCTGGCAGCAGGTTACCATGGATTTTGTCACGGGGTTACCGTCGAACCATGGGGGTAACGACGCGGTTATGGTCGTCGTTGACAGATTGACGAAGTTGGTACACTTCGCTGCGTGCAAGAAATCGATCTCAGCCGAAGAAACTGCTCTCCTGTTCATCGCAGCCGTCGTTCGACTGCACGGGATACTAGCCGCGATTATCAGCGACAGAGACACGAGGTTCACCAGCAATTTCTGGAAGAACCTCTGGGAGCAGTTCGGGACCAGGCTACAGTTCAGCTCGCCGTACCACCCCGAGACCGACGGTCAAACGGAGCAGACGAATCATACGATGGAGCAGTTGATTCGTGCCACGTGCGACGACCCGACAACTTGGGAGCAGCAGCTGTCACTGATCGAGCTCGCGTACAACAACACCACATCAGCGACGACGCAGCAGTCCCAGTTCCACCTGAACTACGGGCAAAGCCCTACAGTGCCCATGACGCCGAGTCCGGACAACCCGACGCCACGTCCACAGCAATTCGCCGAGATTCTGCAAGCTGCCTGCACTAGAGCCGCCGAAGCAATTAAAAAGGCCAATGTCATCGCTAAACGCAACGCTGACCGCCACCGCCGCCCAGTCACGTACTACTCAGGAGATTACGTCCTGCTCTATACACAGAACTTAAGACTGTCCGTCGTGCCAAAATTACGACCGCGCTACTGTGAACCATTCCAAATCAGCCACATGAGTACACCAGTAACCGCCCATCTACTGTTACCGACCGACTGGTACATCAGCCCATCATTCCACGTCAGCCTACTCCGCCCATGCATCCCAACCACGAGCCAACTACCTCGACATCGCCCGCCATCCATGACTCGCTCATCGAGCCCGAAAAGATTCTAAGCCATTGGATTTGACACCCCACGGGAATCAGGAGGATCGAGTTTCTCGTTTGCTGGAAGGATCGCACGCCAACTGAGTATAGCTGGGTGCCCCTGGCCAACATTGAAAACGACCATGCCCTGCAAGTGTACCTGAGGAGCCGGGGTTTCCGCGATATACACGCACTCGCGTAGCGGAGGGGGCTTCTTGAGGGGGGGGGTGTCAGTAGATCTGCACTGTGGATGCCCGATTGATCCTGGAGAGGGTTACAGGCGCGTTCGCCTGGGGGGTTATGGGCGCACTGACCCGCTACTGAAACAAGCCCTTTTATCCCAGTGGTTAGTGGCTGGGATTCTGACATGGTATCAGAGCGGTCTCGGGTTCGATTCCCGGTGTATGCACATGTAGGCCGTTGCCGCTGTGCTTAGTCCTGGGCCTCCCAGTGTGGGGGGGTGTCAGTAGATCTGCACTGTGGATGCCCGATTGATCCTGGAGAGGGTTACAGGCGCGTTCGCCTGGGGGGTTATGGGCGCACTGACTCGCTACTGAAACAAGCCCTTTTATCCCAGTGGTTAGTGGCTGGGATTCTGACAGGGGGGGGGTAGTGTAAGGAGTTTTCTCCACATTCCTTAGTGCATCCTGCAACATTGCGTACAGCAGCAGTCGTTGTTCGCCCGTTACTGCTAACGGCGCTTCGCCAACTTCGCGCGCACTATTTCACCAAACCATGCACCGCTGGCCCGGCCGTGTCGGCCTACGCTTTGGGACTAACCCGAGCCTCGTTGCCAGCCTAGCACTAGCTAGCTCGCACGCACCGTGTTATGGGTTGTAAAAGAGAGTGCGCAGGTCAACGAATAACGAGGCTGTGATTGAACGAACTGCGAATACAATGAATGCACAGACTAATGTAGGGCTAGCCTAGCTAGGAGGAAACCTCGGACAAACGAGGTTGGGTGCAGGTTGGGCGATGGAAATGCCGAAGGCGACGCGAGGAGCCTCGGCAGCGTTGAAATCGGTCGAACGTGCAACTCCGAAAATCGGGTTGTACGCGAAGCAGTCAACCCCGATAAGGAATTCGGGAAAATTCCTTACACCACCCCCCCCCTTAAGAAAGGCGGTCAAGATCCGAAACACGCTTGCGCGCCAAGTAATCACCAACAAGTGGCGAGGCGTCGAGCGAGGCGGATGGCACCCACGTGTCGTCCTCACTGGTGCGGTCAGTCCAGCGGATTAAGAAATCCACCTGTCGGCCAGCTGCGTCAAGGCGAACCCGATGAGCCAGGATTTTCGAAGGGTCAAGGGTCGGCTCCGGAACCGGTCGTGCTGTCGGGGCAGCTTGCTGACGTGCGATGTCGGTCGTGGCTGGCACGAACTTGCGAAGAAGGCTGATGTGGAAGGCGTCATGAATTCGCCAGTCGTCGGGTAGCAACAGCTTCGCGGTGACAGGTGTCACCATCTTGAGAATCTTGAATGGCCCACAAAATCGTGGCCGTAGTTTCGACGGGCCGGGCAGGTGCAGGTTCTTCGTGTCAAGGAGCACTAATTGCCCAGTGGTCAAGACGAGTTCCCGGCGTAGAAGGTCGGTGTATTTGCGGGAAGTGATATTCGCCTTGCGAATTGCGTCGGCGGCTTTTTCTCGGGTTTCCTGGAGTTCCGTCACGAAGGTTTGTGACCGCGGGACCGGGTTGTCGAGGGAAGTCGCTGTAGGAACCGTCGGGTCCATCCCGTAATTCAGGAAAAACGGGGAGTGATTAGTCGTGCTGGACGGCGCGTTGTTGAAGGCGAACTCCAACATTGCGAGGGAGTCTTCCCAGCGGGCAGGGTCGGGGCAGTTTGTCCTGATCAGCTGCTCCATGGTCTGATTGGTCCGCTCGGTTTGACCGTCTGTCTGTGGGTGATATGCCGATGAGAACTGTAGCTTCGTGCCGTACTGCGCCCACGTCTCCTTCCAGAACTTTGATGTGAACTTCGGGTCTCGGTCGCTGATGATCGCCGAAGGGATGCCGTGCAGTCGCACGACCGTTGAGATGAAGAGGCGCGCAGTTTCTTCGGCTGTGATTGTCGTTCGGCATGGTGCGAAATGCGCCATTTTCGTGAAGCGATCGACGACGACGAGAACGGCGTCGTTGCCGGACGGCCCAGCTGGCATCCCCGTGACGAAATCCATCGTCACTTGCTGCCACGGTCGTTCGGGTGGCTCGAGGGGTTGCAGCAGTCCAGCTGGCCGCTGACGTGTCGATTTCATTGCTTGGCACACCCTGCATGAGGACACATAGCGCTGCACGTCGTTAGAGGAATCAGGCCAATAGTATTGACGG